ACCATAATTACACCTTTCTAGGCACGAGGTTTCTTTCACATAGACATGTTTTGGACGATAACAACCCAGCGTATGAGGTTAACGAGAAGATAGAATTGCTGTGTCAAGATAGTGGCATTCGAGGCTGCTGGTTCAGGTGTACGGTTTTGTATGCATCATCGAAACAGATTAGAGTACAATATGAGGATCTGCAAGATGAAGATGGCTATGGCAACCTTGAGGTGAGTTTCAATGCAACACTCTTAGCTACTGCCCCTGAGTTCATTTAATCGTTGTCTTATATATTGTTCGAGTGCATCTGCTGTATTTCGTTTTCGGCAAGGAATTTCAACTTGAAGTAAGCGACAACTCACAAGTTTTTCTGCTTACAGGAATGGGTCCCTGCTTGTAAAGTTGCTCTACCCGACAAACTCGGCATGAGGCACCCCGGTCGCCTAATCACAAGGCCAGCCCCACAAGAGAAAACAGAGCTCACTCTTGATATCGGTGTCGCAGTCGACGCATGGTGGAGCGACGGCTGGTGGGAAGGAGTCGTTACTGGCCTAGATATTTCAGGCAACGATGATGTGCTCGTCTACTTTCCAGGTACTCTTATCGAAAACGTCAAAGTCATTCTTCCCGTCCATCGATCGTTACCTAAAAACCTCCATTACTGTCAACAGGTGAAAGCTTATTCTTAAACATTCATCGAACCAATCTTCGAATATCTAGAGACTGGTTAGGAGACCACTGGATTAACATCGACACCAAACCTTCTATACTTTCAACTATATCTGACAATAAACATTCCAAGTCTGCTACCCTTGTAGCCATGTCTTGCATCGACATAAAGGAGGAGGAGACACTCGAGGAAACCGCGTTAGCTAGTCTCGAAAAGCTTCATGAAGCAAATGATGAGCAGCAGAAGCAAGTATCGTCGGACAAAGACAACCGGAGTGAGGACGATGATGATGTAGCTGACACGAAAAACAGTACCCATGATTTGAACAGCTGTGATAGTGAGGAGGAAAATGATGAACGTAGCAATGGCGTTAAATCGGAAATGGATTCCATGGAAACGTCTGAACCGAACCAAGAGGAAGAAGAAGGAGAGGACATGGATATGGAAGGTGTAGATGCTTAGAAAAATACAAGCCTGTGCTCTGCATTGTAAATAGTTGATGGATCAGTTTCACTTGATATGTACAGAATTGAGTGCAGATTTAGTAGGTTTAGTTGAGAGCATTACTATCTTAGTGATGTAACAATAACTATTAAAAGAGGATTATAAAGTTGTATTTCTAGTTTATTCCCTAACGAAAATACCTAATAGAAGAACTACACATTAAACAACTTTGTACCTCGAAACTCTATGTACTTTCTCTGGTGTCGTTGATATCTCTTTAACAATACATAGGTTACTGAAAGGATCTCGAAGACCTATTAAAGCACGGGTTTTAAGCAACCAATCGAATTGTACGAGTATCCTTTTAGCATAACATAGGTCTCATTGAAAGGATCTCGGAGACCCATTGAAGCACAAAAGTCAGAATTTATTTTGAAAATAGATTTCTATTTGAAGAGTGGATAACTGCATGGATAAGTTCACACTAACCATCAATTTTGGGTTCAATTCGGGATTTTCCTTGAAAGATGTCGGGAAGGAATTGGAATGTTAAACTCTCAAACTCTCTACGGTAATATGCTTTCTGAATTACTCGTTTGGGTTCTATGTTTATAAATGACTGATAGATTCTTCATGTTAAAGAACTTTGTACTTCAAACACTGACTTTTTAGATTCAAACTAAACAACCGAACTTGAACACACAACTCAAAAAATCTATATAAAAAAGAACTAAACAACTCCCGAACTCATAACTCTAAAAACCTTTGAAATATATATATATACTTTTCTCGGTTCCATTGCTACAGTGGATTTTACGCAACCAGTTGGATAATATAATATCTCTTTAACATAATAACATAGATCATTGAAAGGATCTCGGAGACCCACCAAAACACGAAAGCCATAATTTTTTAGGAAATGGATTTCTATTCGAAGAGTGGATAACGGACACGGATAAACTCACACTAACCATCAATTTTGGATTGTATTCGGAATTGGAATGTATAATTTAGGTTTAAATCTTTATAAACAATTGCGTTACATGGAAATAGAGTAAACAGCTGAAGACTCACAACACAACCAAATGGCTTTTAATAATTTCATAAATTAAACAAGTTGTATACTTAATAACCTCACTTAGTGTTTGGAACGCCCCAAACTCATAAACTCATAAGAACTCGTAACTCATAAGAACTCATAACTCAACTCTCTATCGTCTCTCTCTCCTCACTCTCTCTCTCTCTCCCCCTCTTCTCTTCTCTTCTCTCTCCTCACTCTTTATAATCTCTCTCCCTTGCTCCTCTCTCTCTCTCCCTCTCTCATATGTATCTCTCTGAATCTTTCCTTATAATCTCTCTTTGTATCTCTCTTTATAATCTCTCTCTCTCTCTCTCTCCCCCCTCTTCTCTTCTCTCTCCTCCCTCTTTATAATCTCTCTCCCTTGCTCCTCTCTCTCTCTCCCTCTCTCATATGTATCTCTCTGAATCTTTCCTTATAATCTCTCTTTGTATCTCTCTTTAAAATCTCTCTCTCTCTCTCCCTGAAATGGGTTTTATATCTCTCTCTCTCTCTCCCTGAAATGGGTTTTATATATCTCTCTCTCTCTGAATCTCTCTCCCTATAATCTCTCTCTCTCTCACTCTTTATAATCTCTCTCCCTTGCTCCTCTCTCTCTCTTTATAATCTCTCTCCCTTGCTCCTCTCTCTCTCTCTTTATAATCTCTCTCCCTTGCTCCTCTCTCTCTCTCTCCCCCTCTCTGAGATGTATCTCTCTGAATCTTTCTTTATAATCTCTCTTTGTATCTCTCTTTATAATCTCTCTTTGTATCTCTCTTTATAATCTCTCTTTGTATCTCTCTTTATAATCTCTCTTTGTATCTCTCTTTATAATCTCTCTCTCTCTCTCTGAAATGGGTTTTGTATATCTCTCTCTCTCTTTATAATCTCTCTCCCTATGATCTCTCTCTCTGAATCTCTCTCTCTTTATAATCTCTCTCCCTATGATCTCTCTCTCTGAATCTCTCTGTCTCTGTGTGTGTGAAGTGGGTTTTTGTGTATATAAAAAGAGAAGAGAGGTTTATAAAAAAACACAACACACAAAGTAGTGGGTTTCGTGGGAAGTTAAAATTGAAAACACAAACCCTTTGCCTTTTCTTTTCTCTCCCATGCAAAGACAATCCCTTCCATAAACAAAACAACAACATAATCACTCCCTCATTCCCTCACTCAATCTCAAAACCCCCCCTCTCCTCCTCTCCCATTACCCATTACCCATTACCCATTACCCATTGCCCATTCAAAGAGCCTCTCTTAATATTCCCCCTTCCCCCCACTACCCATTAATAATACTGTAACTCCTCCTCCTCCTTCCCTCCACGCCCTTTTAACTCCTCCTCCTCCTCCTCTCCCAAAAAAAGCCAATCTTTTTGCCCCTCATGACCACCCTCCCTCTCCTCCTCCTCCTCCTTCTTCTTCTCTTCGGTCTCTCCGGTCAGGCCTCCGGCGGTGGCGCTGCTGCTCCTGCTGCTGCTGCTTTTGCTGCTGGGGGAGGTGAGAGATATGCCATCAGTTGGGATGACTTGCGTGTGGATGTTCCGTCGCGGCAGGGTCTCAGCTCCGGAGTGCATGGCGGCGGGGTTCAGAATGGAACTGGAACTAGAATCATTGTGGTGGATAGAAGCTCCTCCGGCGACTCCACCACCGTGCAAGGGGCGGTGGATTTGGTTCCTCATAATAACAATCAGAGAGTTAAGATTTATATTCGTCCTGGCATTTACAGGTAACTTCTTTTATTCATATATATATATATATATATATATATATATATATAATTCATTCAGTTCTTCTCTTGTTTCGTCATTGTTTCGTCATTCTAAGAATGTTTTTAAAATCGTGATCTTATTCGTAGTTGGGAATGAGAAGAAGTCTAAATTAATGGACATTAATGAACCGTCATTCATCAATGTTGCAAATTATACACAATCAATTTGTTTCAAGATCATAGACAGTACCGTCTTTAGTATCATTTGCTCGAGATCAAATCATTGAAAATTTTCAAAATTAGATTTTATTTTTGAGATTTTGGCCTTAAATTCAAAATCTTTTCTTAAAAATTACGGTAAAAATCCGATTTAGGCTCTTATTTTTTTTTAAAAAAATATCTAATATATTCCAAAATTTCAATTTTATGTTTAATAAATCTTGCTTTTTAAATAATTAATTGACCTACTATATATATAAAAAAAATCATTTTTATATCTAATAAAACCTAAACTTTAAAATAAATTTATATTTAGCAAAATCGAGAAATTTTAAAAATACTAAAATTAAAGTTATTATAAGCATATTAGATATCACCCATAAAAAATTTAAGTTTTATGAAATTAATTGGTGTGTGTGTGCATGTATCTATATACGTGTGTGTATGTATATATATGTGTGTGTATATATGTGTGTATATATGTGTGTGTGTATATATGTGTGTATATGTGTGTGTGTATATATGTGTGTATATGTGTGTGTATATATATATGTGTGTATATATGTGTGTGTATATATGTATATGTATATGTATATAATAAATTTCTAATTTTTTTTAAAGAAATATATATTGTTTTGAATTGATCTACAAAACCAAGATTTGATGAACTAAAAGTGTATTGTAATATGAACTTGCAGAGAGAAGGTATACATACCCATCACCAAGCCATATATTTCATTGATAGGAAACAGGAAACGAATGACAGACACTGTAATTACGTCGAACAGCAAAGCTTCCGACAAAGATGTCAGCGGACTCGAGCTCGGGACGTATAGAACAGCGACGGTTGCGATCGACTCCGACTACTTCTGTGCATCAGGAATCACATTCGAGGTTAGGAACATAAACGAAGATAAACAAAGATAAAAGAGTAAGTATGAAGTTATTGAGTTTTGTAAGTTCAATGTGGTTTGGTTTGTAGAACACAGTGGTTTCAGCGCCTGGAGATAAGGGAAGACAAGCTGTGGCTCTAAGGATTTCAGGAGAGAAGGCTATGTTTTATAGAGTCAAGTTCTTAGGACAACAAGATACACTTTTGGATGATATGGGCACACACTATTTCTATCAATGTCACATTCAAGGGACTATTGATTTCATATTTGGTACGGCTAGATCACTCTATGAGGTAACGAGTTCTAGACACATAGTCGATCGCTTTAGAGTTTTGAACTTGTCGTCTGATGTTTGTCTGTTTTTCTCTCTTGAAAACCAGCAATGTGTGATAACTTCCACGGCAGAGACCTTTGGAGCTATAGCAGCGCATCATCGGAGCTCGCCAGACGATGACACCGGGTTCTCTTTCGTGCGCTGCGTGATTAATGGAAGTGGCAGAGTACTACTGGGAAGAGCATGGGGGACCTATTCAAGAACAATATATTCTTACTGTTACATTGAAGATATGATAAGTCCGTTAGGATGGAGCGACTGGAGCGACCCATCAAGACAAAGGTAAGGAAAATATACTTACAATAATGACCCCCCCGACACATACACACATATACCATGACATTAACCGAGGTGGGCGTAAGTTGACCCAAACACTCACAAGAATTATAAATATCCCTCCACCTCTTGAATCAAGCTAATCTAATAGAATTTTTCAATTGTTATCCACCCACAGGACAGCAGTTTTTGGGCAATATAGATGCAGGGGCAGTGGAGCTAACACAAAAGGTTGGGTGCCATGGGCAAGGACTTTCACCTCCGAGGAAGTGAGACCTTATGTAGATAGGAACTTCATCAATGGAGAACAATGGCTTAACCTATGATGAGATATAACACAAAGAATATCAACTTTTGACACTAAAAACTTGGACTTTGTCCTCCAATACAAAAAAACATATATAGAACAACCATCATGTTGAGTTCCAATGATGGAATAACAAACAAAAATGTAGCAACAATTACATCAACGCCAAAGAGTAATTAGAAACAAGCGTCTATGTTTAGAACATTTTATAATTCTTTCGAGTGGTTATCTACTTCCTTTTTTGCTTACTTTCTTGTAAACAACCTTAAATAATAGGGCATGAATTGAATTATTGGATTGATTATTTATTGCAGAGAAATCAGTTTACAACAACACTTCGACCAATATTATGGATTAATGCTTTTTCAAATGTTTCAATGATCAAAATCATGCATGCCTTGAGAGTATATGATCGATATAAAACTATGACTAGCATATATATATAGAGAGAGGGGTCTTGATTTGATTTGACTAGCTTGCTAATTCTTTTAATACAATGCTTATAGTATTCATGAGAAAATATTTTCTCACAATAGAACAATTCTCTACAAAGCTCTAAAAATGGCCAATTTCCTTGTAACGGCCCAAGCTCATCTCTAGCAGATATTGCCTATTTGGGTTTTTCCTCAAGGTTTTTAAAACGCGTCAACTAGGGAGATGTTTCCACAACCTTATAAAAGGTGTTTCGTTCTCCTCCCCAATCAATATGGGATCTCATATTCCTAGTGGATGACCAAAAGTTTCTTAGATTCACTCATAAGATTCCTCAGACTCTTCTAAGGCAATACCATATTCTGACTATATATTAAGTTCGAACCAAAGGAATGAAGAAGACATCAAACTTCACTGTATTACGGTAGGAAGACAATTTACATAAATATGAGGGATTCAAAACTTCATAAAAAGCATGCTTGAAGAAATGGCTAGTCTCTTGGGAGGAAAATGGCAGAAGCATCCCAAATTTCAAAAAGACAAGAAAATGCAGCTTAATTTTCTTAGCAATCAGTTAACTTATGTAGTTTAGAAGCCTTACAAGCATATTTCAAAAGCGTCTCACGTGCCAATATTTGGTCCTCGAGTCGACACTGGCTGGCCATGAGAATATCTCCATTGACCACAGGCTGAGCATTTCTCCAACTTCACACTGTTTTCTAAGGTGCAGAACTTACATGACCAGAATTTGTATTTGGTATCAGCAGCTTTTGACTTTGGTGAGAAACAGAGCTCACATATTGGAGCTAGTGGCTGCATGACAATGAACATTGGCATGGAAAAAAAAAAACAGTGGGAAGCTTGGCAGGACGATATATAATAAACGTGCCCATCACGATACTTTAAGGTAAATATGTACACTTTTATATGTAGCAATGTGAAGTTAAATTAAAGGACTAATCTATGGTGCTAAATTTTACAATTCTCACTGCAGTCCAAGCATGTATTGAGGAAAAGTATAGAGATTGTGCAAAGATGATGGTTCATATAGTAATCAAATATATGAATCAATAAAGTTCAGAACACATACTGGATTCAGTAAGGTGCAATTTCCACACTCCCACATGGAAAGTTCTCCAGGATGAGTAGTTCCATCATGAATTGGCATCAAATTAGAGGATGAACAGGGACGATCTATTGAGCTAGTTTCTGCACAAGATTGAGGAAATGGAACTCTAAATGTCATTTTATGACGCTTATTTGATTCAGCATCATAGTCAGCAGAGGAACCAGGGATTACAAAATCGGGTTTCAGGTGACCATTGGATGACTTAATAGAACTCCTTTCCGTCTCACGACATCTTTTATCGTGGAAAGCATCCATACCCTGACTTGGATTGCTAAACAGTTGTGATTCACCTGCTTGGGGGCGAAGCGCAACTTCTGATGAAAAATCAGAGCAACAATCCTCATCCACAGGCATTGCTTGAGATGAAGCGCACCAAATATCATCCTGAAGCCTCCTTTCTGCAGCCATTGCAGCTGCTTGTACAGGACTTAATGCGACCATGATGTCGCTATCACCACCAAGCCGTTTAGGCCCAGATGGAAGTAGAGATCTCAAACGCCTTCTTCCTTCTGCAGCAGCTAGGGAAGATTTGCGGAGGGAAGAAAGAGGGGGTTGATGACTATTACCACCCAAGCGTCTCCCCGGGATATCAAATCCCTGTGCTGTACCACTAATTCCCTTAGCCATCAACTCCTCGCATTCCTACATTTTACAAAAACCATCAAATTGGATGCATGATAAGAGAAATGTCCAATCAAAATGTAAATTTCCAAGAATAAAATAGAACAATACAAACATGGGATTACATTGATGAACATTCTATTAAGTGAAACATATGCCCATGAGTTGTAAATGGAAAACAAATTTGCAATCAGGCAGTAAAACATGATGAACATTTATGAAACGCAAAGAACTAAAAGCAGCAAATCTAGTCCAAGTACAAAATTAGACGATTCCTCCTCCTTGCAGCACTTAATAAAAAATATCAAAAAGACAATGCCACTACTTTAGTCTCTGATCAGGCAATTTCTTTAAACAATGTTATGTCAATCAATTGGCATGCAATAGGGTTATAATAAGCGCCAAGAAGAAAAAAAGCATAAATGAACCACCTTTCTAAGCTCATCCCAAAGCTTGTAGAAATTGGCATTGTGAGGACCATGAAGATTGTGGCAAAGCTCATGTAGCATTGTATCCAACACTTGATTGAAAGGGAAGAAATCTCCATCCCTATTTGGCCTTCGAAGCCTCAACTTCACATGAATTCCACGTCCCACATTTACCCCTAAAAGTGCTGGATTTTTTGGGCTGCAAATTTATCAATAAATCATAATGCAGGAAGAAATAGACACCAGAATATATGAGTACATCAAGAATAGAGCAACAACAATAGGAAATTCATTGTTTCCCCTTACCAATCACAAGATTAAAAAGCACAGGGATAAACCAAGAATGAACATTTTGGGCAGTTTGATTTGGTTAAACAAATTTCTCTTTTCATCATTCCTTGCAACAAAAACTAATCAAATGAAAATTAACATCTTCAGCATTTTCATTTCGTCAGATCCACCAAGAACAATGTAAAATATGATAAACATAGAATCCAAGAGGAAAATCAACAACAAAAAAATTACTATCCTTCCATTATAATGAACAACATGGTTGAAACCTCAACCTACCAAGAGAAAAGGTACAATGACTTCTAAATATCATTTACCAGAACTCCGAAAGAATCTTGACTCGCCATTTGTGCCTACACATAATGGGTTGGACTTGTTTCGCAATTCTCTCCAGCATCTCCTTTGCTTCTTTCTCTCCAGCCTTCTTCTTCAAGGCTTTAATTTCCCAAACTTTGTTAACGTCGCTCACATCCATACTAAGAAATGAAAAATTCGGGAACTTAAACAAGCGATTAAGCGCACGAAACTTAACAAATCAGATTCACCGTAATTACGGACAGAACTGAAATCGGAATCTGTTAATTCGAAAGCATATTTCAAGCAGATTAAGGATCATTTGGAACTCGAATCGGCATTGAAACTTGGAAGAAGAGATTTGTTTCACCATGATCGAGAATTGGCTCGACGGCAAGAAATTCTGATAAGATCGGCCAGGTTTGGGACGCATTTTAAAACTATTGGAGGGATTGGTGAAGTTCATAGACGCGCTTTATATATTTAACCTTTTTTTTAAATATTTGGGGAAAATTCAATTTATATCATAATTATATTAATTATTATATACCACTTATTAATTATTAATATTTATTTTCACTCCATTTATTTAAAATCAACTCAAAATAAACTAAATAAAATTATTATTGTCCAAAAATATTACTAAAATCATTACCTTCTTCTTTCTTAATAAAATAAATAAATAAATAAAATAATGACCACCACAATTTTCTTCGAACTTTTTTCATTAAATAAGGAGGATGTCACAGTCATATTTGTCCAAGCACGTGTTGTCTATGATTACATGGCAGATGTCCCGTTCTTGCTTGTCAATGACGTGTTGTCCATAGTTGCATGCCCATTTCAAACCACTTTTGCATGCTTTCATCCAAGATAGGTCGTTTCACGTTGGGTCAATACAGGAGTATATAACCATTCACCAAAACCATGTCTACACCCCCAAGGCTAACCTAGAATGATTTTTAAATGTATTTCTTCGACTTTTAAAATTATATATTTTTTTAAAAAAATTTAAAAAATAATAATGAAGATTTTAAATTGAACAATATTTTTTAAAATATTATTAAGTGTATTTTTTTTTTTTTAAAGACTTTTTCTTATTATTAAACTTTTAAATATAAAATTTATGGATTTTTTTTAGGGAATTTACAAAAGATGAATGGAACATGGCGAGCTGATTTTTTCTCATTAAAAGGGGAATTTTGGATCATAGGTTTCTCTGCTTGTTGCTCACACTCAGCTCAAGAATCTCTATCCAACAGCCGTACCATCAAATCCGTTTCGTATTTGATCAACTTTTCATCTCTGGATTTCTAAACTCAGTTCAACAATGGCGGGTCTTGCGATTGTTATGGATCTATTACGGAAAAATCCGGCCGTCAACGCACCGCAAAGCTTCCACTCTTATGGGGCGTTCTCCGCCGCCGCTGCCGCTGCTGGAACCCCTTTTGCCTTCAGAGCTTTCTTAGGGTATGTGTTGATGCGTCAATGGTTTCGATGTTCTTGTCTTGAGTTTGATTTCTTCGTTATCGAGATGATCGGATTAAATTTTATTTTTTTTAAATTCACTTTTATCTACTGGTTGTTTCTTTGAATTGGATTCGTCTGTTGAGATTTGTAGTTTCGAAGTGCAAATTATAGCGGACCATATACTGTCAGGGCTGAGAAATTTGATGAAACGATAGAGTTCTTCATTTGTTCTTCTTGAAATTTGAAATGAACTGATTCTGTTTGTGCAAATCGTTGTTAATCAGTTGTTAATCATTGTTTATCTGTTTGAGAACGTGTTTTTGTTTGATTTTTCATTAGCAGTTCTCAGTTTACATGGTTAGGGATGGGTTGTTTTATTCAAATTTTCATGTTCTGTAACGACCCATGCCTATCGCTAGCAGATATTGTCCTCTTTGGACTTTCCCTTTCGGGCTTCCCCTCAAGGCTCAATATCTACTAGCGGTGTATCTGGGGCGTTACAAATGGTATCAGAGCTAGACATCGGACGATGTGTCAGCCTTCTCGTTGTTCCCCGTAGGGGGGTAGCCACGAGGCGGTGTGCCAGAAAGAACGCTGGGCCCCAAAGGAGGGTGGATTTAGAGGCGGTCTCACATCGATTGGATAAAGGAACGAGTGCCAGCGTCGCCCCAAAGGGGGGTGGATTTAGGGGCGGTCCCACATCGATTGGATAAAGGAACGAGTGCCAGCGAGGACGTTGGGCCCCGAAGGGGGCTGGATCGTGATGTCCCACATTGGTTGGGGAGGAGAACAAACCACTATTTATAAGGGTGTGGAAACCTTTCCCTAGCAGACACGTTTTAAAGCCTTGAGGAAAAGCCCAAAGAGGACAATATCTGCTAGCGGTGGATATGGGGCGTTACATGTTCTTTGTGGTGAAGTATGATAATTATCTTTATATTTGAAATTCTTTTGTAACTATAGCCTTTTGATGATTATTATCAATTGGAAAGAGCTTATCATGTAGTTCCTTGACGGGGTTGGTTGGGAGAGGAGTCCCTGCATCGGTTAATTAAGGGGTTGATTATGGGTTTATAAGTAACGAATACGTCTCCATTGGCATGAGGCCTTTTGGGGAAACCTAAAGCAAAACCATGAGAGCTTATGCTCAAAGTGGACGATATCATACTATTGTGGAGATTCGTGATTCCTAACATGGTATCAGAACCATGCCTTTAACTTAGTCATGTCAATAGAATCCTCAAATGTCGAACAAAAAAGTTGTAAGCCTTGGAGGTGTAGTCAATAGTGACTCAAGTGTCGAACAAATGGTGTACTTTGTTCGATGACTCTAGAGAAGGAGTCAAGCCTCGATCAAGGGGAGGTTGCTCGAGGGCTCCATAGGCTTCAGGGGAGGCTGTATGGTGTACTTTGTTCGAGAGGAGAATTGTTGGGTGAGGAGTTTCCCCATCGGCTAATTAAGGAGTTGATCGTAGGTTTATAAGTAATGAATTACATCTCCATTCGTACGAGGCCTTTTGGATAAACCAAAAGCAAAACCATGAGAGCTTATGCTCAAAGTGGACAATATCATACCATTGTGGAGATTCGTGATTTCTAACAGGGTCCTCTACCTCGGCCTCTAAGTTGTTCATATTTTGGCGGTTTTAATGAAGTTTTATGATGTTTCGGTAAAAAATACAAATGATTAACAACTTAAATTCGATATTAACTCTCGGAACTAGATTAGATTGTAATCCAATTCTCAGGTGAACGAGTTTTGAGCTTCATATGATGGATGATAGACTCTCGAAAACTGAATACGTGAAATCTGCAAGTGTTCTTAGATTTACTATCATTAGGATTTCGCTTACATGAAATTGCATCTTTCTAGTCAGTTTATACTATGATTTACCTATGGTTGGTTACTTAACATGAATGGTCGTGCTACGACAGTAACCGGATTCCAATTGCTCATTGTGATGCCGGTGTGGACGTGACCGGGGACTACCTCTCAAATCTACAGAGTGCATCAAGGAAAATCTTTCAGCATGAGTCTCTTCAATACACTACAAAGGAGTACAACATTGAGTTAAAGCCATTATTCTCTGCTTTTCAATGGAGGATGCTCGGTATGACAACGTTGAGGTCGTTTCTGATGTTTTATTTGCCTCTTTTGGAGCCCCGTGCAAAGTTGGAAGACGAGGACGATGAGGACTTCTTCAACGATGCTCAAGAAGAGCAGCAAGTTGATCTAGTTTCTCCGTTTAAAAAGTCCATCAAGCAAATCGTCCGTGAGGTTTGTCGAATTACCCATTCTCCATTTTTTTTCTTCTACCAAATACTTGTTCTTTAGCTGATATAAAAATATGTTCTTGGAAAAAAAAAACTATATTGAAAATGAAGGAATCTGATTATGAAGTTTAAGGAATCAACATTAATTGATCTGTGTTTTGAACTGCCTTGAGTAAAAGCTTGTCGAGTTGTTTTTCCCTCCGTATGGTTAGGTCTAAAACCATTCATGTAACAACCCAAACCCACCGTTACGAGATATTGTACTCTTTAGGCTTCCCCTCGATGTTTTAAAACGCGTCTACTAGGGAGAGGTTTCCACACCCTTATTAAGGAATGTTTCGTTCCTCTCTCCTAACCGATGTGGGACCTTACAACTCGGTAGCTTGCTTACCGCCTGCCTTCGTTGTGGGGTTTAACGGTTGTAGAGTTACGTATTGGTCTTATTGCTCTGAGGATAGAATGTCACCTGTGTGTTCCATGAACTAAGTGATACTTCATTAGTGAAAACTGCTTGATCTCTTAGCGGAAGTTATTGTTTATAGCATCTTGAATTTTCATATTATTTCGCTTATCAGCCCATTCCTCGTCAAACGCTCGAAATTACATCGTGTTAACCCCACTTATTTGTCATATACTGAAATACTATCTTCTTTCTGGCTATTGATTAAACGATAAGCGTAATCGATATTGAAATGCTGTCTTGTATTTCATGGCTTACGCTCGAGTTAAATGTTCGGGAAATGGTAAAAAAATTCGTTCAGGACTCGAGCAACCAGCTTCCGGGTGCCATATCTCTATTGGAACTACTGTGTTGCCTTGCTTATTCTGGATCCTTTTGTTCTGCAATGTCTTCTTTTTTTCATCTGTCTCTGTAATAGATGTTTCTTATAACACTTGAAATCAAGTTCATTGATCACTTTATTTGGATATCATCAGACTACCGTCGTCACAACGAGACGCGTCTTGGAAAGAATTTCGGTCCACTATTTTTCGCAGCGTATTGCATGGAAGCTTCTTAAAGGTAACTATCCTCACCGTTCCTAATTTTTCGACATCGTTTGAAATGGCAAACAAGATTTAAAGATAAGTTTTCTTTCATTTGTAATTGGTAGCTGGTAATGTAATGAACCAACTTGTCTATTTATTGACACGACAGATGTTCCGAAATCCGCCATTCGCAAGGCTGGACGAGGACTGCCTACTTCGGTCTACTTCTTTAGAGTTAGCAGGACGACGTTCAGAGGTTAAATTCCATTATCAACCCCCCCTCCCCGCCCCGAAAAGAATATACCCATCACCATTCTCAGATGCTCATTGTGTTTTCCTGCTTGGACTTGACAATACAGGACACGCTCTAGGAGTTGCAGCTTCATGGCTTGTCCAAGTCGGTATCGAAATCTACCGATACATATCTGCGAAAGTAAAGCCCAAAGAAGACGATATAAGTGATGAAACTGATAAAGTTATACTTTTAAGGAAGAAGATTGCAGGCGCTACTCTCCGATGTAGCACATCGCTAGTTTTCGCTTCCATTGGAGCAGGCATAGGCGCCACACTCTTCCGCCCATCGACAGGCCAGTGGATCGGTAAGTTCCCACACCCTTCCAAACCCATCGTTGCAACAGGCATTGACATATATAATGAAGAATCGTCGGTACTGGTGCGTTGTGACTCGTTTTTGAATCATTAGAATCCTTTGATTGTGTGTGCAGGATGTGCTGTGGGGGACTTGGCAGGGCCTGTTATTGTGACAATATGCCTGGAGAAAACGTTGAACTTGGATCTTTAGCTCACTTGGGGTATAGTCTTCTGACTCATTCTTTGAAACTTCATATGGGAATGTGTATTGATTTCTTCTGGATTTTCTTCTACTCAGCCCTGCGGACAGGCCATTAATGCATAAACTCCATTTTTCTGTAATAGCTTTTTGGTTACATTATCATTTTAGGCCTAATGAGATACTTTGATTTTAATATCGTCTTTTCCCTGTATCTCGACTTTATACAAAATTTAACTCGTTTCATAGCTATTTGATTTTCAGAGTCTCTGATGCTTGGAATTGACTTAGATTTTAAGATTGAGACACCCGAGTAAAGGTAAAGTACATAAATGAATCGAGACTATATTTAAATGAGAGGAATCTTAAGGACAGGATAACTAAGATAGGGTTAAAAGAATTGGAAGTGACTACCTATACAAATATTGTGTGTCTTCCTTTTCAATCGCTCAGTCATATGAACTATGTCGGTTGACCTCTAAGAATTTTTTTGGGATGTAAGCAATTTATGGGGATGTCTTTACTCTTAAGAAGTAAGAAGCGAGAAGTAGGTAATATGACCATGTCTCTGGAAATGTCGGGATCATTATGTGCCAAATTTCGGTTTCAAATCTTAATCTGGATTCTGGGTAGGGACCGTTAAGCAAATTAAGTATTTTATTTTCTTCCTAAATCTCTCGAACTCTTCTTGTTCCATCTCTAAACACTATCTCTCAGCGAGAGTCTTCTTCTCAACTCACCTGTCTTATTCCTCTTATGATGGTGAGAGCAACAACGAGTAGAGTTCGCTCCTCTCCCGAGGTGCTCCTATTAGTTATGACTTTTCGTTTGACATTTTAGTTGAGCATTCGGACCGTGCTTCACTTTGGTGAACTTATGCGGTTCATCTTCCCTAATGTTTAGAGTTGTTCTGGTTTGAGAAAGGAGTGCCCACTAGCTGAACGCTTTGAATGAATAAGAAATAGACAAGTGAATCAATGATTCTTATTCCACCGAGTTGAAGCTAGCAACATGTCGCCTGACATCTTGCAAGAAAAGGCCTGTGACTTTCTTCCTTAGACAATGCACAACAATTGATAGGGTTACCGTTGTCAACTTTACTCATTTTTTTAAACATCATGAGAATGTTCAAATAAGCTTCTTTCTCGTTTTAGTCTCTTACTAGAAATTGTACGACGACCGAGTAAAACTCAGCTGCAAAAAGCGCTTTTAACTTTACATTACAACAAAAGCTCTGATCTAAAATAGATATATTCTCCATATATGATTGAGAATCAGGTGTCCCAAATCATTACAACAGCAATAATCCCAATTCCTAAAAGCACAGCAACAAACTTGTGATTGGGATTGACCACCCCAACTGAATCCTTGGCCGTGTATCCCTTTGAAAGCAGATGGTTTATGGACACATAAATGAACACTCCACAAGCCAGCCCCATCGAGATGGCAAAGATCCAATCTGCAACCGCGCCTTCTGTCGTGGCGTCGATTATGAGTCCGATAGCGATGCCAATGGGGCTCGAGATGGCAAAAGCAAAGGAGTAGGCAGCGCTCGACAACAAGGGGCGGTTTGGGATCATTCGGAGGAGAGCAATGCCCATGGCAATGGCTGCAAAAACCTTGTGGAGGGAGATCGTCCATAGGGCTCTCCAGGCATCGGCTTCAGTCTCTGCAACACCGATGGCAATGCCTTCGAACACGGAGTGAAAGCACAACGCAACGATTAGCAAAATGCTGTCCCCAAATGAACCCATTGTTGTGATAGCTGCGTGTGGATGTGGGTTATGGCCATTGCTGCCATTATGGACCTGAATTACACAAAAAAATGAGTTTAAGTTGGATATAACAAGGAAGGATAGCTGAGTTTAGCTTTGTTACCTGAAGCTTTGAGGGTGAAATTGCAGTTCCTGCAGTAAAAGAACACCATAATTATTGAGGGTTGTATAAAGATTAGAGACAAACACAAAATTCTACCGCTGGTAAAATTATTCATCCGTTATGTAGCCGCCTCGTGATTTTAAGACATGTCAACTAGAGAGAGGTTTCCACACCTTTATAAGGAATGCTTTGTTCCCCTCTTTAACCAATGTGAGATCTCAAAATTCACCCTCTTAAGGGCCAACATCCTCTCGGCACACCGTCCCGTATCTGGCTCTGATACTATTTATAATAGCCAAATTCTACTGCCAGTAGATTTTGTCTGCTTTGACCCGTTACATCCCACCTTCAGTCTCATAGTTTTAAAACGCATCTATTAGAGAGAGATTTCAACACCCTATTGGTTCGTTTCTCTCTCCAACTTATGTGGTATCTCATCGTACACCCCATTAGGGCCAGCATTCTCACTAACACACCGCTCAGTGTAACACCATTTGTAACAACCAAATTCCACCGCTAATACATATTTTGTTTTGACCTGTTACATATCGTAGTCAGAACATATCTACTAGAGAAAGGTTTCACTTGGACATTCCCCTCTCCAACTAAACTAAAATCTCACATATTTACTATAAAAATAAAAATAAAAAGTTAATTTTCCCTCCCAAACTAGCAAAATTTCAAAGATCATACTAAAAAGTTGTGACAAATGAAATCATTATAATTTTGTAAAAATGATTTTGAATGGATCAACTATTTATAAAATTGACAAAGCTGAAAGGTGAAGGATATATTTTTAAAGTTCAGAAATCAAATAAATGAGTCCACCCACTTACATCTAATGTAAAAATGAAAAAAGGAAAGTAGAATAGTGTTTTTAATTATTTAATATTTTTTTTAGAAAACAATAAAAAACTGTGTTGAAATTGGATTAGTTAATTCATTTGTTCTTTCCCAACCACTAAATTCATTGGTATGAAAAAGGATAAAGGAAAAGGAAAACAGCTTTTAGAAAGCGATTTTCAAAATCCCCAACCCAACCTCTAAGTTCATAGTTAATTCGTTTATCATTAATTTTGTCTTATTTTACTTTTGGTTGTTTCCTCAGATTCTGGCTCCGACAAGTTCAGGAAATTACTGAATCGCGTGAAATTGCAAGTAAATATCCTCTTTGATTCTCTATTCCACATTCATTTCAACCCACGAAAATCGATAAAATCAAAGAATCCAGAAAAGTTGGAAGGAAAATTCATCGGTTTAATAGCCGATTCAGAATCAGTACTAACGATTTTCCGAGAAAACGAATTTGAAGTTCACAAGAAAGAAGAACCACAATCAATTTTCACAGAAGAACAGAACAAAAATTCCAGATTAAAATTCAAATCAGAAGAGTTCTAGAATCAATATTACCTCGAAGCTCAACATCAATCGAAGAATCACCGTCCTGTTTACGATAGAGATACGATATCACACAATCCGCCGCCATAGTCATCAAAAACCCTACACAAGCAAGCATAAACGCGAACGGATACGCCTTATCAGTCAAATCGCCAAACGTCTCATTAGCATCGGAGAGGAAATGCATCATAGCAGTGCCAAAGAAGACGCCGCCAGCAAACTGAGTACCAAGGACAAGGAATCCATCGTTCCATTTGAAGAAACAGGGAGAGATTCCAGGGATGAAAGTGCCGAAAAAGATGAGAATAAGACAGCCGATCTTAACGAGAATGAGCGGCTTGGAGCGGAGGTTTGGAGTGGCCTCAGCATCTCCGGCATCGTCATCGTCGTGGTGGCCGCTGTGGGCGACGGCGGAGGAGAGGAGGAGGAGGAGGAAAATGGAGAGGAGGAGATGGCGGGCCATTTGGAGGGGAATTTGGGGAAGAAGAAGACATTTGTGCGGTGTTAAATACAGAGGAAGAAGGTGTGTAGTACATAAACTCAAAGAGGTAAAACAGATTTTATTGGAGGATGTTCGTACAAAGAAATGAAATGGAAAATATACTTTGTACTACAAAAAATATATATTATTTATTTTAATTTAATTTCAAAATATTATTATTTTTCAATTTAAATAAATTTATTTTTTAATATAATTTCTTTTTAAAAAAAATGTAAAAAATATCTAAATAAATTCGATAATATTTTATTGGTCGAGCGGGAATTTAGTGAGACAAAGATAGAGACAAGTAATATAGTTTTTGTCTCGGGCTCCATTTAGCTAACTCTTATGTTCTATTTAAATAAAGATTAACAGCTCCATTTGAGGCAAGTCAATTATTTACACGTCTCTAATTTCTACATTTTCATTTTTAAGTTGTATTTTTCCTTCTATATTAGTTTTTATTTATTAATTATTAGTAGTTAAATTAATTTTTACTAATTTTTCTATAAGGTTAAAATTAATTTAAAATAATTATGATCATTTAGCTAACCGAGAGAGAGAAATTTCTCCCTTCTCTCTTCCTCTCTCGTTCCTCGTTTAAATAATGATTATCAATTTTATTTGAGTCTAGTCAGACAAGTTAAATTAATCTCTCTAATTTCTACAAAAAAAAAAATAATAATAATAATAATAAAAAAATAATTTTAATTTGGGGTTGAGTTTTAAAATTTTCACTAATATTTACTAATATTTCTTTATCGTTAAAATTAATTAAAAACATATTTATATCATAATTATTTCAAAATTAATTAACAGCTATTAATTCAAAATTAAAAAATTCAAAAATAAAAATGTAACGTTGGACAAAAAATTATTATTGTTTTTAGTTTTAATTATTTTTAACATTTGTATTTGTGAATATTTATATTATTAATAAATTATGAAAATACAATAAAAAAAAAATGATCTGAAGAAGCTGGCCCACGTGGCAACGATGTTATCTAAGACTATAACGCTGGCTCCCTTCTTATGATTTGTCAGGCGCGTGCATAACGCGCCTTTAACAGCGCGTGGTCAAGGTTCGTTCTCTAGTCCCAGAAAAAGCCCGTGACTTGTCGGCTACCGCCTGTCCGAACCCAACTGTAGTGCCACGTCACAAATTAAATATATTTTTATTTATGATATTTTCTTTTTATTAAGTTTTTTTTTTTTTTACTTGTGGGATATGATTATATAACTGAAAAAAATAATTTGGAAGAATAAATTTTAAATAACCGACACGTTGAAAGCTCATGACCGTTGATTTCAAGATCATGCATCAGAAACCCTTTTCTAGACCCATGCTTATATTGTTGGCTAAAATCATGTCACAAATGTTGAACTCTAAAAAATTAAAATTTAAATTAAATCATGTAGAAAAGTCTGTTTTTATTAACTTTTTAAAGTTAAAATTTATTTCCCTTAATGAATACTCATAGTGGAATTTTGAGATACTTTTATCGATCAATAACTCGATCAATTCAGGCTATCTAACACAAACTATAAAAGTTACATTGGGTTAAATATTTTTTAAAAATTTGGGTAGTTTGTGAGTTGACTTTTTTTTGGCGAGTCAACCCGACCAACTAGAAAATAGGGTTATAATCCAACCCTAGTCTTATTATGATAATTAAGAATATTGGATGTTTATTACCGATGTTAGTGATGCATTGTAACTTGTGAATGTTTGATATTTAAGGTCTTTGAGATTTTAGCTATTAATGTAATATATAATGTATATCAATATGATTTTTTTTAAAAACAACCTAACCACCGAACTCGAAAATAGAGGGTTGGATAATGAACTACATTTGAGTTGTTCGAGTCGCTAACCCAACCTACCTAATATATGAGTTGGGTTGTGAACTATATTCGAGTTGTTCGGGTCACCAACCCAGCTAACCCAATATTTGAGTTAAGTTGTGAACTATATTCGAATTGTTCAAGTCACCAACCCAACCAACCAAATATTAGAATTGAGTTGTGAACTATATTCGAGTTGTTTGGGTCATCAAGCCAACCAACCTAATATTAGAGTTGGGTTGTGAATTATATTCGAGTTGTTTGAGTCACCAACCCAACCAACTCAATATCAGAGTTGAGTTGTGAACTATATTCGAGTTGTTTGGGTCACCAACCCAACCAACCTAATATTAGAGTTGAGTTGTGAACTATATTCAGAGTTGTTTGGGTCACCAACCCAACCAACCTAATATTAAAGTTCGGCTGTGAACTATATTCAAGTTGTTCGAGTCACCAATCTAATCAACTAAATACTTACTAGAGTTGGGTTGTGAACTATATTCGAGTTGTTCGGGTCACCAATCCAACCAACCTAATATTAGAATTGAGTTGTAAACTATATTCAAGTTGTTCGGGTCATCAACCCAACTAACCTAATATTAGAGTTGGGTTGTGAACTATATTCAAGTTATCGGGTCACCAATCCAACCAACCCAATATTTTTTATTGGTCCAAAATATTTACCCAACCTACCCCTATGAGATCAATTAAGAGGAGAAAAGAAAAGTCTGAAAGCAATTGAAAATTCAAAAGATGAGAAGAATTGATACCCTGTTTATTATTGTGTGGGCGTTGACGAAGACTTTCAAGTTGGAGAAGGCTTTGGCATCAAGCTAAGAAGGAAAGCGACCCAGAATCTGCCTGCTAGCAGCAAGAGGGAAGCTTTGAAGTCATCTAAGAAGTGACTTGCCATTTGCCAACTAAGAAGAAGAGCACAAAAACAAGTGTCATGATATTGATATTTACTATGTATGATGCATTCTTCATTTGTAAATAATTGAACCGCATGCACCTAAGAGTTTCAACATCAGCTAGGAATGACAAATTTGAGCTAAAATCTTCACCGACACTGTTTCGGGTGGTCGGGTTGATTTTCGAACTTCTTATGTGCACCTCTGTCATCCAACTTTGGATTATCTTCAATTTGGTCCTTGCATTCGACACAATCAACATACGTGACATGACCAAAAATCTATATCCGTCTATCTACCATATATCATGCCAATTTGGTAGAAATTTATCTCCTAAACATATCACACCTACTATGTGAGATCCCACTCGGTGAAGAGAACGAAACATTTTTTATAAGAGTGAAAACATCTCTTCACATTTTAAAAACCTTAAGAGGAAGCCCAAAAAAACAAACATTGGATAAATGGTATCAGAGTCAAACACTGGATAAATGGTATCAGAGTCAAACACTGGACAAATGGTATCAGAGTCAAACATTGGACAAATGGTATCAGAGTCAAACACTGGGTAATGTGCCAGCAAGGAGGCTAAGCCCCAAAGGTGAGTGGACATGATGCAACCTCGAAGAGGGTGGATTGAGAGGTCCCACATCAATTAGAGAAGGGAACGAGTAAACCCCAAATGGGGTGAATTGTGAAATCTCACAACAGTTGGAGATGAAAACGAACCATTCTCTATAAAGGTGTAAAAACCTCTCCCTAGCACACATTTTTAAAACTTTGCGGGAAAGAGAAAACGCAAAGAAGACAAAATCGGCTAGAAGTGAATTTAGGCTAGTGCAAACTATTTATTGATAGTGTCCACTCAAAACAAGAATATATTAGTGTCAAAAGAAGGTAAATATGAAGTCAGATGAATCAAAATTACAAATCAATCGAGAGTCAACTACTATAATTTGATGTAATATTGATCTATACAAATATAATTATAGAAAAACAAAAAAAAATCGAAGGGTTATAATTGTAACCAAACTTGGACAGTCATAGCTATTCAGGAATAACTCAGAAGAGCATCCTTGACACAATATCAAAACTTCATTTGCCTGGAAAAACCATCTCATCTCCAGAAATAATGGGATAAATAAGTTGCAAAATTTATGGGGGATATTCAAATTGAGAGGAAGAAGAAAAAAGAAAAAAAAAATTACGTACTGTACTTCCTTATCAAGAAGCTGCAACTAATGGAACGTAGAAGAGAAAATCGATGGAATCAATCTGAAGCTGCCTTCTTGGCCTGCATGAAGAAAGTTGGCTGGAGTTGATTCCAAACGATATCTTTGTTTATGTTTGACACTACAATTTTGATCAACTTTTTACACTATTTTGATCTCAACGTTTCCATATTCGCCCCTGCTGCTTCTGTTCTTGAATCCGCCTGCATCGTTAATTAAGACGATCGATTCTTAGGCAACGTATATAGATCATTTGAAGTAATGTCAAGCATTGAAATCATAAGATGGATGCAACAAAATTGATACAAGGACATATATAGATCGTTTGAAGTAATAATCGATTCTTTTTTTTTTTTTTCCCTTAATTTCTTTTTGAGATAAACTAATTAGTTATTGCATTTGATTCCATCTCACAATATCTATCTTTTCTGCTTCGCAAGCACTTTTACTTAACTTCATTAGATGTCTTTTAATAGAAGATACTCAAACAATACAAGAAAACCAGAATGCCACTAAAATTAAAGCAAAAATAGTAAATTAAGCCCCCATGTGAATCACGGGAGTCTACTATAAAACAATATTCTAGACAATTGGTAATCTCATGAACATGTAAATCTATAGATGTCCTACAAATAATATAAATCACAGATAACAATGGAACAATTTCCCTTTACATACAGCTTTTTGCTGACATCACAAGCTCAGGATAATAGAAATTGAACACCATTACTGAAAAAGTCATTTATCAATAAAAAAAAGGTTGGATTATCATTCTAGTCCTCGTAAATTATTGTTTTAAACTATTTGGTCCCTTATTTTTTGTTCAGTTCTGTTCTTTAAACAAGAAACAGGTTCAAGACATCATGCTAGCTTCAACGTAATGTCAGGTCAGTTTCTTCTAAAATTAATGTTACAATTAAACTATATTTATATAGCACAGGGACTAAAATAAAACAAAGGAAAGACAAAGACAGATAAAAAATTAAACAGACTAGAAGCATAATTCAAAACAAAGGAAAGACATAGACCTACGCATTAAAAAAAAAGAGAAAAAAAGAATCACCTTTGATGCTCTTTAGAACGTCTTATAAATTCCGTTGGAATGTCGCATCCTTTATATGATTCTAGTACTTGTCTGATGTCAGCTGGACTATTTCGTGCAACAACTGCATATCCAAGTAAACGTTTGTTCATATGTTACCAGAAAAAAATTTGTACTAACCAAACAAAATCACCCCTAGTTATGAATTCTCATCCTATTTATAGCAAGATTAAAATGCTTACATTCAAGAAATGGTATAAAATCAAGAAGAGCTGTATCATCTGCCTCACACTTCCATGGCTTTATTGGAACAGAGTTTTCTGGTTGTAGACTACTATCAAGTGCATGGCCACTCAAATAAATAATCTTCCTGGGATCCCTGTTAAGCTTTGACAGGTCCTGTTTTTTGTTTTTGAAAAACAAAGAAAGTGCATCATACAATTGAATAAAATTCGAATGGGTTACCTTACCGTATTCGTAAATTAATGATATATTGATCGCCTTTTCTCTAGTTAGAATTTTTCATCCAAAAGAATTACAAGAGAGTTCATTATGATAGGTAGAGGAAAATATAATTTGAGTATAATACATATGGCAAATAAGTAATCTAGAATGATAAATTTATGGTATGATCTAGCTCAAAATAATTGATCATTATCTTAAAGACTAAGGCGAATGCAAAATTGTAAGATCCAAATATCTAGAAGAATTTATCAGAGAAAAAAAGAAGAGTAAACTCTCATCCATAACATACTCTGTAATGCTTTCCATTCTCATACTTTGTAGCTGCTCTTGACAACCTATATCGTATGCAATGCTTGGGATCCAACCTATCAATGACAGGATCAACATACTGCAATAGCAAAACAAAATAAATATAACTTTTTCTGTGATTAAAATTTATAAACGTGGCAATCGAGTTTAAGATGAAAAGAGAATAAATTACCATATTTGATTGATCAGAGTATATGACAATTTCATAAAACTGGGCAAGATGTTCCAAGAAAGAATCAACTCCAGGCCTTTTAAACGTCTGCCAGCCTCTTTCTCGCTTTAGAAGAAAATAGAGGTTGTTACAACCAATGAAAAAAATACCCCAACAAGTCTTTGTTAACATCAAGTACAAGCGTAAACTAAATATAATAAATCTAATGATATCCAAGAAGAGTTCGGTGATTAAAATCAAAAAGAAACTTCAACAAAATTTAAAAAAATGAAACTTGTATGAAAAGGCTAGTCAAAATGCAATTTTTTGGCAACAGTCAAAATGCAATTCAACAAATTCACTAATTAAAAATGACATTTTTTTGGCAATGAAAACAGCTCTCACAAAGAAGAAAGTAAACATGACCAAAAAAGGATGATATATAGAAAAGGCCAAAACCACAACCTAAGCCACCAAAAAAGATAAAAATAAAAAATTACAAAGGCAATCGAGAACACAACATTATCTTTAATATTAGTCTTACCGTCCAATCAGAGTATACTAGAGTCTCGTTTAGATCTAGAACAAGCGTAAACACATGCCGTTCCATGGGATGCAATTCTGGAAGAAGCATTTCCGCATTGGGTTCAGTATAGCCCTAAAATTAGCAAAAAGTTACGGTCAGCGACAAGTGAATCTACCGAGGCTGATAAACATCCAAGAGCAATGTTAAACTGAAACAATGTACGCACTTTAACTTGCTCTTCAATTGCCTTCCTCAAATCCAGGTAAACGTCAATGAGTTTAGCAGGAGCTGCAACATGAGGTTCTTTTTGTTAACTAATGATACTGAGTTAACCAGTTACCATATAATAAGTATAACAATATATTTGAAACTCTTCAATTTGTCAAGTCAGAGGTGCAGCATTTGAAAAAATGTGCATACGTGCAAAGGTATCAAAGCCACCTTGGTGAAGGCAAGACACCCTCTATCAAGCATCACCTAAGATGTACTTTGGCACCAGCTGAGGCATTGAGGCGCACGTTTCATATTTATGTCTCTTTACTCTCCAATGGACAAAGCATCTTGCATTCTACCATTTCAACAATAACAACTACAACTTCTTTGATTGCTCTCCCCAAACCATAAACCCTCATCTCAGCTCTAACCTAAATTATTTTCTACAATGTGCGTAAGCTCCAAAGAGTTATTCTGCTCTAGTAGGGTTTCCAAGATATTCAAACGGTAAACCAAGGAGTAAGCGTTTGAATTGGAAAGGTCAATAAGAAAAGAAGGTTTTTGCTTCTACCTGACATTATCGTGGAGTACAGCATGCCCTGAACTTTCTGCCAAAGAAAATAATGACAAAAAGTTATGCTTCGCGCCACAAAGTAAACGAAGCTGAATAAAGAGAGACGGGGAAGAAACATACATTACCATGCAACCTCATTTGACACAAACAACTCAAAATAAGTTGAACCACGACTAATGAAAACCAAATTGGAATTGCACCATCCCAAAAATCCCAACAAACACGCAATATTTCCCTTATGTTGTTACAAACTCATTCATGCTTGAGTTGGAAAGAAACAACGCTAATTCGATATAGAAAACAATTGCGAAAGAAAATAACTAGAATTTGTCAAAGTATCCCAAACTCGGGACCAGTCTCATCGTAACACATACCTCGACACCGGAAGCATCGTCCGCGGCTGTATGATTAGCAGAACGACGAAGAGCTTTTGCCTTCTCTTCAACTTCATCATAAGTATAGGCTGGAAAACAAATCATCAGTTCGTAACTCCAATTCACGTGAATCAAAATAAAAACCAGATCAAAGTCACATCATTCTAAACGAGAAATCAGGAGGTAATGAGGAGGAGAAAGTACCATAGCTGGCGTAACCAGCAACCGCAGTTGCTCCTGTTAGAGCACCAATCAAACTATACTTAAGGAAATTCCAAGGCTTACTAGTGGTAGTAGAAGAAGAAGAAGAAGAACCAGTAGGGCCTTGAACATCAGGTGGAATCTGATCGGAGATAAGCTTCTGAGACGCATTGATCGCATCTTTGGAAGGGGTCGAAGCGAGGTCGGAGCTCATAAGACGACCATGGCGATTCTTCAGCAGGGAAACGAATCGGGATCGGAAAATCAAAGGGGACATTATCGGAGAATTAGGGTTTAGATCAGTCTTCTGTTCTAATTTTTCTTTTCCAATCTTAAAATTAGGGTTTTGGCAAAGAGAAATACAGCGAAAAGAAGACCTCCCTGAAATTAAAAGGACTGTTTGGATGTCGGTGTATGCTATACTTGATTCTGGACAAGGATCTAGAAGTTGGTGTTTGGATGTCGGTGTATGCTATACTTGGTTCTGGACAAGGATCGTGTTTGGCTGCAAACTTTTTTTTTTCTTTTTTTTTTTTTTTAATTTTTAAACAAATTAATTTAATAACCGAGGTTTAAACACAGAAAATACTAAACAAATATTTTTATCAATTAATCGATTTAAATTTTATTTTAAAATCATTAATTCATAATTTTCATATATATATATATAATGTTAGATTAAATGAATAGTAACAAATTTTGATTTTTTATTTGGTTGTTTTTCTTATATTTATTTAAAAATAATTAAATTATTATTATTTTTTACTATTTTTGTAAAATCTTTTAAAAAAATAATAAATTTAATTAGCTTCCAAAAAGAATATTTCTTAATTATAATCTCAGGATCATTCTCTAAATTAGTCGATATAAGACTTTCATCCAACACCTCCCTTTTAACAAAATACACCTCCTCTTAATTGAGGCTCGACTTCTTTTCTTTTGGAGTCATTTGTTAGACATTTGAGAATTTCATTGACATGACTAAGTTTAGAGCATGACTCTAATACCAAAACTATGGGGAAACACTATTTTCAGGCAAACCGAACCGAATTTTCGGTTTTCAAAAAACTCAATCCAACCTACACAAAAAAAAATAAATAAATAACTCGACCTAACTTTATGATTTGGGTCTGATAGTCTAGATTGATCGAGTTATCAAGTCATATGAATACCTGCAGTTCAAATACTCGTATCACGATTTTGTCATAATCAAAATTTATTTACAAAAAAAAGAAAGAAAAAATCCTCAATTTATATATTACATTTCCAATTTAAATTTAAATGCCTAAAATTTATGATTTATTAAAAATTTTAAAATTAAAATTAAATATTTGAGAGTAGAAATTTTAAAATTAAAATTAAAGAAATTTATTTTTTTAGAAAATTACTACTAACCCGTTTTTGTACGCCCATAGCCGCATGTATATAAGACGGAATGTTTCCAAAACCAGAAGCATTGAACAAAAAATGGCGGGAAATCTCGGAAGATCGGAGAGAATCGACATCATGAGGAAAATCAGAGGTCACAATTCCATTGAATTTACTCATTCTCATATTCATTACATACGGTTTCTGTTTCAACGTTGCTATTTTCTTTTTCGCTTTTCGATTCCATGTTTTGCAGAGCTAACAAGATCTATGATCGTTGAACTGAGTAATGGAAGCTCCAAGATGATCGCTATCGATCGGTTTAAAAATTACTGCATTAATTCCATTGAAAACTGGTTCGGATTTTGTTTTGTTTGTTCGCTGTTTTTGTTTCTTTTGAATCTTCACAGTCGTACCAAATAGTGACCACGATCTTCATGTTTCTACGTGATTTACTCGACTACGATTATTCAGTTCTCAATACGTATGACAATTTTCGATAATCTCCGATTTGTTATTTACCACTGGATCTGTTGGATCATATCGGAGGCCAAGTCAATCGGTTGCAAAACTTAGCCGCGATTTGTCATTTTCGAAAGTCACTTCTCTGTCTAAACTCATAAGCATTTGATATGTAAGACCTAGTTTTCAGTCATCCTTTTCGTAATAAACGAATGGTGTTTCAAACAATAGTTTAATCTTTCAACAAAATACAGTTTTCGAATGTGCAGTGGCCACTATCTTGAAATTGGACCTGTGCTTTGGAAATGATATGTTGTCTACCTAAAGAGATGTTTAGACGATTATGGCTATTTTTTATACAGTTGCTGCAGGTTCAATTTATCTGAAGGGAAGGAGATTCTAACGCTTCAAAGGGAAAGCCATGTCCGTAGACTAGGTGATTTAGTTTTGTCGACGAATGATATTATAAAATCATAATTCATATAGACTACAGATTACACTTGTGACTTATTTGATATTATTTTGCTCTATCAGATGTCTTGCTTAGAGTTCTACTCATTATTCAGCAGCTTCTGCGAGAAAATAGACATAGCTCAAAGAGAGATATATATTATATGCATCCCTCTGTCTTTACAGGTAAAGCTAACCACCGTTTAATCCGCAGGCACCGGTAGATTTGTTTAAGATACAACATGTTTCATAAAATAATTAGCTCTCCAGTTGAGAAGAATTAAATTTCAACATATCCTTCGAATTTATGTTTCCAGCAAATTTGTGGCAGGAGATTTTCTGAACATCTCCTTGTGTTGCTTGATATGACAGAGTTTAATGACATTGGCTTCATTGTAATGATGAATATTTTGCAGATCAGTCTGTTGTTGACCGGGCAATCAACGACATCTGCATTCTTTTGCAATGTAGCCGGCATAATCTAAATGTGGTTGGTGCTGCGCTTCATTTTACTTTCTTTCCAATTTATGTTTCCTCCATAGTTATATAATACAGTTCATGTGGGTTCTAATCTCAATATGGTATTTACAGTCGGCTGCGTGCACACAAAATGCGGTTCTTTGATAAAATAAACGTATAGTCATTTTTTGTCATCCAACAGCACTAAATAGGTGTCGAAGTTAGGGAGATATTCTTCAACAGATCAGTTGCAGTTTTCTTTAAATCCTATAGTTTATGTTTGCAAGCTGCTTCTGATGATCATTTCAACTTGTGTCCTTTTGACAGGTTTCTGTTGGTAATGGGTAAGTATCGAGGAAAACATCTGCTCAGTTCAGTAAAGAAAAGAATAGTGCAGAGTGCTGCTTGCGTTCTTGGCATAAGCCTTTACAAGCAGTCTCATTACACAATTATTTGTTTTGTGGGTTGATACCCATATCAGCCTTTTCTATACCATTAGATTCTGTTACATAACAATTTCCTCTTTTTGCTGCAATCTGTTTTATGGAGGAGAAAAATAAAGAACTGAATGTTGATGTAGTCACTTCTTTTACAGGTTGGTGATGGGTTGGTTGAGGTTCGCAGAAGCTGGTAGGAGATCTGATTGCATAAAGAAGCCTAACAGTGTAAAAGTTATACCATAGTTCTTCATAATGCAATTGCCAATTTTATCACTCTTAGCTGTAACTGATTTGGATGAATGCATCTCAATCACATACAGGCCCACTCCATTCCTGTTCAAGTTGAAGAAGTCACAGGTATTGCTGATACTGGAACATAACTTGCCAATCTGCTAGGCTAGAGCTTAAATTAGACACTCGGAATGATACCTTTGGATATGGATTGTCTATGCTGTAATCTGCCAAATTTCTACATTTCTTCATGAAATTACATAGTTCTTATGGGTGAGAATTGTTGGGAGGGAGTCCCACGTTGGTTAATTTAGAGAATCATCATGAGTTTATAGGTAAGGAATACATCTCAATTGGTATGAGGCCGGTGATTCCTAACACTTATCGCATTGCTCCATATTCTTGAAAGCCCTTTTCACCCGATTCGGTAAGCGCTTATGACTATTTGTTATCTTTATACGCAGATATTGCTAGTCCTGCGAATTACATACTCGTTGTTGAGAAAGAATCAGGTGAAGGCTATACTGGTTTCACGGTTCAAGGAATGAATTTCACTTTGATCATTTAAAGTATCTGGTTTGAATTCTGAACGTGCAGTTTTTCAGCGTCTAGCAAATGACCATTTCTGCAGCAGAAACCGGTGCATTGTAATCTCGGTGAGCATGCCTCAGGTCCTGCAATTGAAATTTCTAGTATTTAATTGTCAGTATTTTCTTTTTTCAGGGACGTGGATATCCAGATGTTCCTACTAGAAGGTAAAGAAATTATGGTCATAGAAACGCTAATCTCATTTTATCATTGATGATGCGAGACATGAAAATATGCACGCATGTATTGATATCAGGTTTCTGCGGCTTCTCGTTGATGTCTTGGCATTGCCTGCATTTTGTTTGGTAGATTGTGATCCATATGGGTTTGACATTCTGACAACATATCGATTCGGTTCTATGGTTAGGCTTCCTCAATTGAACAATTATCTCAATTATTTATCTACTAAATTATGCCATCAGAGCTGCGAACTAACCAGTAGCATTTTGTGTGAAACAATGATAACTTCAATCCCTGTTAGTGTTCTTGACCCTTTTCCTTTTCACTAGCAAATGGCCTACGATGCGAAGTATCTCAGAATCCCACAACTACACTGGCTTGGAGCTTTTGCTTCAGATTCTGACACATACAATCTACCACAACAATGTCTCATCCCATTAACTTTGGAAGGTGAGGGATCTTACATACGAATACACACAGCACTTGCACACGCAAGACACGCGCACATACACACGCAAGACACAGCACTTGCACACGCAAGACACGCGCACATACACACTTACTGTGTTCATTTTCAAATGACATTTTCACTTAGCCTTGAATTATGGTTTACTATATGTATCATATTTGACTTTTCATTAGACACAAATATTTGCTATATGTACCCTTTATTAGAAGCAAATATCTAGATATTTGTCTTCCATTACGGTTTACTAAGATATCATATTTGTCCTTTTATTATCGACAATTATCTTGTATCCCTTTATTGTTATTTTCATATCTTTGATAATTTATTTGATTGGGTAAATGATTCTAAATAGAGAGCTTTCACACCTAAATAGGTGTGGTAGTTTTAGCAAATATTCTCATTTATGACGTTTTAAGGGTGTTTTGCTTAACCTGTCAGACAAGAGGAGAACTGAAGCCCTGTTACTAAGATGTTACTTGCGGAGGGAGGTACCACATTGGAGGTAAATTTCTATCAACAGCTCTAGCTTTCTTTTATCCTTGTTTCATGCATTGGCATTTTCTACAAAGTAAACTTGATCCCCCCCTTAGGTTGGAATTGGAGTCAATGCTGCAAAGGGGTGTAAAATTTGAGATAGAAGCACTGTCTGTACACAATATTTCCTTTTTGTCAGAGGAGTATTTACCATCCAAAATAGAAAGTGAACTAACAAAGGGTAAATAAATTCTAGGTGATTGCTCAACCTATACAAGCTATTAACATTAGAAGCTTTACCCAGTGTAGTAGTTACCCACATCATGGATCTTTCAAACAAATGGGTTTGGTTGTTGGTTTAAGCCAAGATTGACTCATCTTTTAAGTTTTTTCTTTTACTTCAATACGTAGGTTTCACGGTCCAAATATATATTTGAGTTAGGCCTAGGACTCCCATACATTTGATTAAGTGTTTGGTTTGTTTTTTCTAGTTCGACCTTCCATCTGTAGTAATATAGAATAAGTATTATACAAAATTATTACCTATACTAAAAAGGTGCACATTTTTTTCGGTAGTTTGCTTTACTGGATTAATTCTATATTAGATGATTTTTTATAAATTTTCCTAAGATGTATGTGAGTGAAGACAAAACATGCCAAAAGAACTCGTGTTAGCCTGTGGAGATAGTTTTCACTCTTAAGAAGCAAAGAGTAGGTAATATGACCATGTCGTATGAGATATAAAAAAATATCGGAGCCATCAAGTATCGAATCTTAATTCAAATCCTAGACTTACGTGATTGATTGTACATTTAATAACATTAATTAGAAGGGTAGAAGATGGATGTGATGTGGGTCAAGGTTTCATTCTTTGGGAGACAACCACAAATTGAATTTATGTGATTAATGAAAGATTTGTTTCCCCCAAGAAAGGGATTTTCATTTCCTTATCAGTTAACTAATTAAGATGCTTAGGTCTTGATTTTGATGTTAACAGCCATGCATTACCAACTTACACTATTCAATTGTTTGTTTCTCATTAATTTGGAGTTTAATTAATAAAAAATATCTTTAAAACCTTTTATTTTGGGTCGTTTCAATAATACTCTTAATTTTTATTATAAAAAGTTTTAAAAAGTTTTTACTTGTTAATATATGAATAAAAATTTTCTGAGATGTCCTATATTGGTTGGGGAGAAGAACAAAACACCTGTGTGGAAACTTTCCCTAGCAAATGCGTTTTAAAGCCTTGAGGGAGAGCCCGAAAGAAAAAGTCCAAAGATGACAATATATGCCCTTTCCAGACGCCTTTTCAAACTTTAAGAGGAAGTCTAAAAGTAAAAATCTAAAGAGGACAATGTCTACTAGTGGTGGATATGGATCGTTACATTGTCTATCGAAATCTCATAAATTATCACTATTTTTAATAATACCTTTGAAAGTCTATTAGCATTTTTAAAACCTTCAATTTTAAAGTTAATTTTTAAGTTTTAAAAAAAAATTAAAGGTTTTTTTTTTTAATTTTTAAAAAAGTTTAAAAGGTAACGAAAAACTTCTGAAAACTTAGGGTATTTTTTAAATAATTTTAAACGTGTATTTTTGAAATAAAATATTAACCGTTTACTTTCAAAATTAATGGTAATAATGGTATTTTCAAACTTTTTTTTTAATTTAATAGTACTATTTAAAATTTCTGAAATTTTAAAATTATTTTAAAAACAAAATACTCAATAATCGTGTACTTACACAATTTTTTACTTTAAAACGCTCTTTAAACACAAAAATTATTCCAAATAGATAAATCCTCAAAAAAAAACTTTCTTTGAGGATGGAAGAGAGGGCACTTTTGGAATAGAACCTACTTTTATTTATATATATATATATATATATATATATCTATAGGTTTGAAAATGACCATTTTTTATTCTTTTGCCACATGAGTGGCAAGAATCCTTCTTTGTCCCCCACAACCATGAATTTCCCCATCTTTTTCACTACTAATTTCATTATTTGATTTCATCTTTTAACTAAATTTTACTATTACTAACGTAGTGAATTGAATGTTACGGTCATACTTGTCAAAGACGTGTTGTTTATAATCCTATGTCAGATGTTCATGTCATGCTTGTCCAAGACGTATTGTCTATAATCGTATGTCGGATGTCTATGTTATTCTTGTTCATGGTGGCATACCTGCTCTAAACCACTTTTACTTACGTTCATATTGTGTCATTATAGGAATATATAACTGTTTACCAAAATCATGTCTACATCCCTCAGAATTAAAATGTCTCAAAATGTACTATAAGAGGATATAACTAGTCGTCAATTCTTACTACCTAGGTTACATGTGAACAAAGTTATGGTTGTTACTTATTTGCTTTTAGTCACATTGTTTTCTTACCAATTATTTTTAGCGCATTTTCTCGTTTACGTTTCCTAAAACTTTTTCTCTCAAACATGACTGAGGCTCGATCATACATCTAAATTGTCCATGACTTACAGTCTTCATATGGCTGACTTAATCATCGGGTTAGAACAAGTACCACATAATCACTATCTAAATGCCACAAGACTGCGATTGTGACAGCAGACATGTTCATGCATAAAATTGAAAATTGATCTATAGCATATGAAATGTCTCATAATAATTAATAAAAATATCTTCCAGTTTTAACTTTATAAAAAATATCGTTAAACTTTCAAAAATTTTAATAATACTTTTAAATTAAAAAAAAAAAAACAGTAGACATTAAAATAAATTTAAAAAATAATCTTATTATTAATTTGCTTTAAAAATACACTTCCACTTTGAAAAACTTTCAAAAAAAAATCCATTAATACTCTTAAAATTTTTAAAAAAACCTCGAAAATACGAAAATTTCAAAAACATTTTAACTTTTTTAAAAATTCAAAGATAATTTAAAAGATAGGAAGAGATAGTTTTCGTTCATATATTGACGGTATTTTTTTTTATAAAGTTAAAATGTGTTAATATTAAAATTCTAAGTGTAATTATATTTTTATCGGATATTTTTAAAATAAATTACTAATAATTTGAATCCAAAATTAACCGTATATTTTTTAAACTTAAGAATATTGTTGACACTATATATATCCCTCCGACAAGCTTTGAAAATGTATTGTATTCTCAGTATTATCTCTTATTGTACATACCTGAAGTCATCCATATAAACTTTTAACCATATTTTCTTTGCATTTTCTCTATCATGTTTTTTTGTGTTCATCTAGATCAAGTGTGTGCGTTGTTGAGCGATCCTAACAAAAACTTTAGAATATTTCTTAGATAAAGTATAAAGTTTAGAGGTATTTTTATTAACGTGTAATAATTAAAACTATATAGTAAATAATATTAGCTTTGATGAAATTTAATTTCCACTAAAGGGTGAGAAATTATAAAGTTGTTAGAACATACTCAACAAATAGCATATTTAGATGTTGACTCTTCAAAATATTCACTCCAAATGCTTCCCTTTTTTTCCCCCTTCAAGAATCTGAATATTGTGTCAATTTCATGTCAATTTCTCCTTTTTCTTCTTTTTATTTTTAAAATATTTTCCGTTTTAGTCGGGGTCGAGAATTTGGATTCGTATAATTCAGAAAAACCGACTATTTATTAGCTTAGCTAACTTTTCGAGAGAATCGAGACATTTAATAAGTTCATAACCATCTCGTTAAAGCAAGGAGACAAAACTTCTACCAGAGCTTCTCCTTCTGTCATTTCTACTTAAGTATCTTTCCTCTTCCACACGTTACCGGTGGATGTTATCATCGTTATGTAAGCGTCTAAACTCACCACTAACAGATATTGTTTGCTTTAGCTTGTTATACATCGCAATCAGTCTTACAGTTTTTAAAATGCATTTGTTAAGGAGATGTTTCCACACCTTTATAAGGAATACTGGGTGGCTTAACATTCTCACTAACACAATATTCGGTTTCTGGCTCTGATATCATTTGTAACAACCCAAACGTTGTCAATCTAACGGTTTCTAAACCACGTTTGTTAAGGAGAGGTTTACTTATAAGAAATGTTGGGTAGTCTAACGTCCTCACTAATACACTACCTAATGTCTGACTCTAATACTATTTGTAATAGTCTAAACCCACCACTAGTAGATATTGTTACTTTTGCTCATTATGTAACGTCATCAGCCTCACGGTTTTTAAAACGCTCCTATTAAGGAGAAGTTTTCACACCCTTATAATGAATCTTTCATTCTCGTCTCTAATCAATATATGATCTCACACTGTCACTTTGGTTGTAAGTCCATAAAAAAGGATCGTGTTTAATAATAAACCTCTAAATTTTAAAAATTAATTAACCTATTAAATAAAAAATTAAATTTTAGGTTTAACCTAATATTAAACTTTTTATTTAATATTCCTTTTTATTTATTTATTTATGTATTTTTTTTATAGAGAAGAATTAGATTCTTCCCCAAGGGAAAAGACTACAAAAAATTCATCCTTAGCTTCGAGGATCTAACTCGAAAGGATAAGGCAAAGAAAACGAAAATTACGTGATAATTTATAATAATAGATGATGACGTGGCTTAATTTAAATTTTTTAAAACTCTCTCGATCTCGTATATACCGTATAATACGGACCGAGTCTCAAAAAGCTTATTAATACCCTTTTTATCAAGCCGTGCAAACTTAATAGGCAAGTCGCTAAATTAAATATATATATATATATATATATATATATATATATATTTAATTGTTTAATATTTTTTAAAATAAATATTATAATTAGTTTTATAGTTTCTCCATCCTCTTTACTATAAACCAATTTGATCATAGTTCAGTAGACATGATTTAGTTAATATATGAATAATTTATAAAGTTTTTTATTTTTGGTTTAATGAAGGTTAGCCAAATTAATATATATATATATATTAAAATATATTTTATTTTTAGAATTTGGTTAATAGTTTAATTTTTACTCAGAAAAAATAAAAAAAATAAAAACTATTAAGGAAATAAAAATATACATTACAAGCCTTTTCTAGGCATCATATATCATCATATATTTAACCTTATAATTTTAATAAAATTGAGGCTAAATTACCAAAATAACCCTAAACATCATCATTTGTTTAAACAAATATTCTTATTATTTTAAAAATTACAATATTACCCTTTAACCTTTTTTTTCCGTTTTAAATCTTGGATTCAAATCATGACTTGGAACCGTTTAGCATTTAAGTAGGAACGTAAATTATGACCCGAAAATCATCCCACCTATTCAAGTCACAGCTACATCCATTCCAAGTCTCGATTCTCATTCAAAGTTTTAAGAAATTTCTACTCCTAAAACGGTTTTGAAACATTTACGAGAGGACAAGGGTAATATTGTAATTTTTAAAAGAATAAAAATATTTTTTTGAGTTTTTTTAAAAGTAATTTAGCCCAAAATTAATTACTAATCAAACCACCACTAGAGTTCTTGTAGCATCGTCTAGAACGATTTCTTCCTTCATTCTCTTAATGAATTCATCAAACTTTCTCTTCAATTCTTCATCACTCAGCACGCCGCCGTTCCCTTCTTCCTCCTCCTCCGCCGCCGCCGCCGTCGTATCCTCAACTTCCCCTGTTTCAGCCGCAAAAAACCTCGCCGCTAATCCATAGCTCTCGTCTTCTTCACTATTTTCTGGAGCTGAAACGATTCTTTCATCTGGGTCATCGTTCTTTTCATCGGCGGCGGCTTCTGTCGGAATCAGCGGTGGCTTCTGAACCAGCTCCGCCGTGATTGGCTCGCACAGAGGCCCGAAATCGTAGAGTCTGGAACAGGGGTCGAAGCTCCTTGAGGAAGAGGAGAGGGATTTGAAGAGACCAGAGTAGTTTGCGAGGAATACGAGGAGGGCGTTGCAGAGGAGGAACATGGAGTTCTTGTCGATTGGTTGGTTGAGGAAATGGAAGCGGGAATTTGGGGAATTATGGAAGAGGTGGAAAGGGAGCCAAGTGGGTATTGGAAGAGCGAAGAGGAAGGAAAACAGAGACAGAGAAAACAACAATTTTGTTACCTTTTTTAGTGTTTGATCAGTGTTCTTGTTCTTGTTCATGTTCATGTTCTTGTTGTTCTTCTTCTCTTCCATGGCTGCCTTTTGGATTTGATCCATGTTTTGATCGGTTTCTGGGTTGGAAAGATTGAAGATGCTCTGTTTTATAGAAGCTGCTCTGTTTTTTTCTATGGAGGAAGAAGAAGGTGAATGTTTGTGTGTGTTTTGGTGAGGAAAAGTGGATATTATGGGAGAAAGGTAAGATGCTAGCTTGCATTATATATAGAGAACCTTGAATTCTGTGGGTGGTGGGTCATGTGAGTTTACGAAAATGCCCTTATGATTTTGGGATGTCGATTACTCTCGCAAGTTAAGTTTTTAGTTTTTGAAATTCGGTGCAATTGCATTTTAATTCCTTTTGATGGGTCATGTGAATTTTACCAAAATGCCCTTCTGATCTCGAGATATCGATTAGCCTCGTAAGTTAATTTTTTGGTTTTTGAAACCTGTGCTATATCATATTTGAATTCCTCTTGGTGGGGTCATGTGAATTTACCAAAATGCCCTTTAATTTTGGGGTATTGATTAGCCCCGTTTGTTAAATTTTTGGTTTTATGAATCTGCATTTGAATTTCTTTTGGTGGGTCAGGTGAATTTACCAAAATGCCCTTCTGATCTCAAGATATCGCTTAGCCTCGTAAGTTAAGTTTTTGGTTTTTGAAACTTGTGCTATATCATATTTGAATTCCTCTTGGTGAGGTCATGTGAATTTACCAAAATGTCCTTCTGATCTCGAGATATCGATTAGCCTCGTAAGTTAAATTTTTGGTTTTTGAAACTTGTGCTATCATATTTGAATTCCTCTTGGTGGGTCATGTGAATTTATCAAAATGCCCTTTGATTTTGGGGTATTGATTAGCCCCGTTTGTTAAATTTTTGATTTTATGAATCTCGTGCTATCGTATTTGAATTCCTTTTGGTGGGTCATGTGAATTTACCTAAATGCCCTTCTGATTTTGGGATGTCAATTACTTTCGTAAATTAAGTTTTTTACTTTTGAAACTCGTGCTATTGCATTTTAATTCCTTTTGATGGGTCATGTGATTTTTACCAAAATGCCCTCATAATCTCGAGATATCGATTAGCCTCGTAAGTTAAGTTTTTGGTTTTTGAAGCTTGAGCATATTTGAATTCCTCTTTACTGGGTCATGTGAATTTGTCAAAATGACCTTTGATTTTGGGGTATTGATTAACCCCGTTTGTTAAATTTTTGGTTTTATGAATCTCGTGCTATCGCATTTAAATTTCTTTTAGTGGGTCATGTGAATTTACCAAAATACCCTTCTGATCTCGAGATATCGATTAGTCGGTATGAAATACATTGAATTCGTAGCTAAATTTTAAAAACAAATTTGAGTTTTTAAAATCAACTAATATTAAAGATATTCTTAGAAAATAGATAATAAAATTAAAGAAAAAAAAATCTAGTTATCAAATATTTATCGAAAGTAGCATTAATCACAAAGAGATAAACCCTAACTCGGTTATTTCCTAACGACCAATTTTAAGGTTTTGCGACAATCAACGATCGCCCACTGAAAATGGAAATTTAAATGCTTCGAGATTTCTTTCACCTCCAATTAAAGAAATATAATACTAAACAAGGCTCTTGTTTTATATAGAGAATTTTGAATTCTTTTTAGTGGGTCATGTGAATTTACCAAAATACCCTTCTAACCTTGAGATATCGATTAGCTTGTCTGATAAGTTTCTGATTTTTGAAACTCGTGCTGTCACATTATCCTTACAATAGTCTTAGAAATAACATTGTATTCGTAGCTAAATTCTAAAATCAAAATTGAGTTTTAAAAATATGTTAATATCGAACATTGTCATCGAAAGTAGCACTAATCACCGAGAGATAAACCCTAACTATATTATTTCCCAACAATCAATTTTAGGGTTTCGTGACGATCCTCAATTGCCCTACCCTATCCTCGATTGCCCACTAAAAAGGGCAATTTAAATACTTCGAGGTTTCTCTCACCTAAAAAACTCATATTCAAATAAAGAAATAAAGATACTAAACAATGTTCGGGAATCAAACAGCAACCATTCATACAATATAGAAGTATGCTCTAAACTGAAGTGGGTCAATTAGGGCCATAAATCAAGACCCTGACGTAGAACACCGAAGCTGATAGCTTATTAGGAGTCTCTCGACTTTCACTGTTAAGCTACTTATTTGATGCCAAGTAACGCTACAGAAATTAAACCGAGAGGTATAACTCTTTTTCATACGTCGATATTCTGAGAAGAGCTGGTCTCGTATATTCTATCCGTCATCTTCAAATTAAATGAAATAATTTAGATAGGAGAGAGAAGTGTGTGGCTAGAAATGATTTATATAGTTGGTTGGAAACTAATAAATTAGATCTAAGTATTTTCCTATAATATTAATTTTTAAAGATTATTTTATTTTAGTAACACAAAAAAAAAAAAAAAAAATGAACCTTTTATAATTTATTACTCCCAATTAATAATTATATTTAAAAAATGTGTGGATATGGGAGAAGGGCTAGATTGTCGACAAGTGGCACTTTCTTATTGGGCCAATATTAATTTTGACTTTTATATTTTATTTTCTTTTTTCAATTATCCCACAAAAACTTCTTATTGGGAAAAAAAAAATTTATTATTATTTTTTCATGCAATATTTTGATTATTATATTTTTTTGGGTCGCCTTTTGTTCTTGTGTCATCTATGGCCAAACGACGTATGCTCGAGCCTCCTGTGACGTATGGAGCATGATTAGAGACCAATACTGAACAAATGAAAATTAGAAACGAAGTACTTCCAGCATACTTTGCCTCCTGTGACGGGTTTTCTAGGAAAAAATCTATGAAATTTCTCAATATAAGATTGTCCAAGTCAAACACGTTCAACGGTAAAGTTTATATGATTAATTATCCGAAAAAAGAGTGTACGTAATTGATATAGATTGTAACCATCCACTATTTTAAGCATTTCTTAACTGTGTTTGCATAGTGTCGAGATATTTTTCATTTCGACATGGTGTTGGTTTATTCATGTGCTGTTCATAGACTCGAGTGTCGTAAAAATAGATATTATAAAAGTTTACTGATTGAAATATAACGTACGTGAAAGGAGTCTTAGTCTTTTTTTATTGCCTTCGTACCTTCGAGAATTTGTCAATCTATTGGCGCGGCTAAGTTTAGGGCATGACTCTGATACCATGTTAGACGAACACGACTCTCCACAATGGTATGATATTGTCCACTTTGAGCATAAGCTCTCATGGCTTTGCTTTGGACTTCCCAAAAGGCCTCATACCAATGGAGTTAGTATTCCTCACTTACAAACCCATGATCATTTCCTAAATTAGCCGATGTGGGACTTTCATCATCCAACAGAAAATATTCACAACCCGAAGAGTTGGGTTGGGTTTAAAAATTGTTCCAACCCGATCTAACCTAACCCACGAACACTCCGTATAATTGCATGGATAAGAAGATCCTCCTAAAATATTTCTATGCTTGTTTCATATATGCCTCAAGATACGTAGTTTTAAGTATAAATTCAGGTTTAACTTATGAATCAGTACATCATCACATGCAACGATCGTATCAAAACACAAAATAAATCGTGTTATCTAAGCACATGGAACAAATCAAGATGCTCGGTTCTAATAGTTGGGCTCCTGTCTTACATGGATTACGATCACATTATTTAACGAACCAACAGCATGACGTGTTATTTAAACAATAAAATAAATCAAAATGTTCGATTCAATTATAATTGACCTTTAAAAAAGTAAATAGTCAACTAATCTAATCCAACGAGAATAAAGAACAATAGAATAAATCAAAAAGCTCGATTCAATCCCTTTTAAAAAGTCAACAGTCAACCAATCTCACGTGGAGAACCTTAAAATGGGTTAAATTATTAATTTTTTATTAAATTATAAATTTAGTCCATCAATTAAAATTAAAATATAATAAATAATTTAAATTTAAAAATTTTAAATTATATTTGAGATTTATTATACACCAAATAAAAAATTTAAAATAATGAGATAATTTTAAAAGTTAAAATATTAATTAGAAGAAATCTAACATTTAAATAATAAACTTTTATTTTATTTTATTTTATTATTGAGCGGTGAGAACGATAACCTATTTGAATGCATTCGCCGGTAATCACTGCCGGCTAATTTCTTCAACTGAATTCTACCAGGAAGAACAGTATCAGAAATTTCAAACGAGTGCTAATCCGATTGTAACTCAACGCCACTCACGGTAAGCTTCAGTTCTTTTTCAGATCTTGCCGTAATTCTGCGTATTAGCTTAACGAAATCTGTTATGAGATCTCCATTTTCACTTCTTAGAAACCGAATTGAAGCTTCATTTTGTTGTACAGAGTTTTACTACGGCGTAACTACTGAGTTTATCGATTTTGATCAAATTATTATTTGTTATGCCTTGTTTTCTTCGCTCTTATGTCGTTTGTGGAGATTTTTATGTTCATCAGGAGACGGTTTGTTTATAGATAGTGGAAATAGTGGATGATGGTCGAAATCAGTACTGATTTCTGTTTGGAAGTAGTTACGCTTGTGAAATCGATTCATTATATCCTCAATATGGCATATTGTGCTTGAAACTTCAAATGAACTGAGCTCTGGAGTTAATTTTGAAATTGGAATTGACTGACAACCATTTTTTTCACAAACTCTGAGGCAGGAACACAGATGTATGTTGTGTAATGCCACCCTCCTTGGTTGAAAATTGGTGTATTTCAATCTCAAAACCAAAGAATTTGACCTCTAGTTGTTTTCCTCACATTTCGATATCTTTAGAAAGAAAATTAGAATTGATAAAGAACTACGGTTCTCATTACTGGGGCCAAGAACACTAATCAAAGAGTTCAAAGATTGGGGAATTCACGAGGGGGAAAACTTGAGAGGAGAGAGCTTCTGCGTTCTGAAACTCCTATTAATTGTCTGTAGTCATGTATTCTTTGTTAGTATTTGAGGATGAACCTGGAATTTTTGCTGGTATTTTGAAGAGGCTTTATGCTTGATTTTGTGGCAGATGTTACAAATGTTGATGTCTTGTTTCTTTTGCAGAAAACTGGAGTTGGCATTTTTGGTTGAATGCAACTGTGAAAGTTTTTTCAAAATTAAAGTGGAAACTAACTGATCTTTTGCCTCTCTAACTTAACGTAGAACCTCGAAACTGTTGTGATTTCGTTCATATCTTTCACCGAGTGATGGCATAGCAAAATTAAAATGGAAGCTAACTGATCTTTTGCCTCTCTAACTTAAGGTAGAAGCTCGAAACTGTTGTGATTTTGTTCGTATTGTTCACTGAATGATGGCATAGCAAATTTACGTTAAGGCAGAACTTTAGCAGTGAGGATTATGATTTTATCACCGAATCAACACATCACAAAACTGAGTAACTTGGTTTTGAATATTATTGTGGTCATGCAGGTTCATGCCATTGGTAGTTTGTTGAATTATCTTAATGGGTAGCCAAGAAGTGAGACAGCCAATGTTACCAACATCGTCTAATACCTTCGTAACAAGGTCAATAGATATTCCAAGGAGCAAAAGACGATTGAGGCGCACTAAGAGTGCTCCTCATTCGGGTTCTCCTCATACAGAGACCACCAGCACCGCTACTGGTCTAGTTCCACGTTCAGGATTAGTTTTTGGAAATCTACACCCGAGTTTTATAAGAGTAGCCTTAGTTTTAATAATGTACTTGGGTATAGGAACTTTATGTGTTTACCTTGTCAGGCACCAAATCAAAGGGGGAAAAACCAACGGAGTAGTTGATGCCATTTATTTCACTATTGTGACAATGACAACCGTTGGATATGGTGATCTTGTCCCAAACACTCCTTCCACAAAGCTACTAGCTTGTGCTTTTATGTTCACAGGAATGGCCGTAGTTGGCCTAATATTAACCAATGCAGCTGATTATTTGGTAGAGAAGCAGGAGATCTTTCTATTTAAGGCCTTCCATATGCACCAAAATGGTTCTTGCGGCAGAACAGAAAAAATTGATACTAATAAAGCTAGAAATAAGTGTATAGTGGTGTTTCTTTTTCTTCTTTTGTTCATAATTTCTGGGACTGTCTTTCTAGTTACCCTTGAGAAGTTGGATTTTATTGATGCCTTTTATTGTGTATGTTCTACCATCACTACATTAGGCTATGGAGATAAAAGCTTCTCGACCCGGTGGGGGCGTCTATTCGCCATTTTCTGGATCTTGATAAGTTCCATCACTCTGGCTCAGTTTTTCCTTTATATTGCTGTGCTAAACACTGAAAGAAGGAAAAAATCTCTGGTGAAGTGGGTTCTAAGTAAAAAGGTGACAGTCTTGGACCTCGAGGCTGCAGATCTCGATGATGATGGGGTCGTCGGGTAAGTCATAGTTTGTTCTTTTCATCACACTTCTCTATTAGGTGGTCTCATTGTGAGATCCCACATCAGTTGGGGAGGAGAACGAAATATTCTTTATAAGAGTGTGAAAACTTTCCCCTAACAGACGTGTTTTAAAAACCTTGAGGGAAAGTCTGAAAGGAAAAAAGCCAAAAAAGAACAAAGCTTGGGCGTTACACTCTTACTCACTCTGAACACACCCATTCGTTTCTGATGAGACCTCTAGCATGTTTACGAGATTCACATACGTTTTCGAGTTGGAGTTTATTAAATTTCCATTGATCATTTCCTTCTTAAACTTCCACAGGGCTGCAGAATTTGTCATATACAAGCTCAAGGAGATGGGGAAAATCACTGAAGATGACATTTCACCTGTTCTGGACGAATTTGAGAATCTTGATGTTGATCAATCAGGAACATTGTCCATATCTGATATAACACTTGCTCAATCATCTTAACCAAAGAGGATGACGGTTGCCTTCCTCGACTGTTTTTGCAATGTTTTTGTAACAGTCCAAACCCTCTGCTAGTAGATATTGTCCTCTTTGAGTTTTCTCTTATGGACTTTTCTTGAAGGTTTTAAAACGCGTCTACAAGCGGTGAGCTTCACCTATTACGAATGGTATCACAACGAGACACCGGACGGTATGCCAACGAGAATGCTAGCCTCTAAAGAGAGTAGTTCGTGAGATTTCATGTGAATTGTGCACAAAAATATTTTAATTGAGAATTTTTAAATGAAAAGTATATTAGAGGGTATAAATTATATTACTTGTTACCATGATCATCAAACTGATCAAACTAAGTTTAAGGTGCATTTTCTTTATAGAATTGAAATTTTAGGGTAAAAATCAACGTTTTTTTTTAATTTTTTATTAGAGACGTGTTTGAGAGTAATTTTAAAATTGTTTAAAATACTTTTCTCATATTTAAAATAATTTCAAAACAAATATTTAATAATTTAAAATTAAATTTTCATTATTAAATGTGATTTGTATGAATCAAAATTGATTTTGACTTCTGACTTAAAGTAACTTAATAGTTAATACTTTATTTAAAAAAATACTTAGAAATTAAAATTTTTTAAAATCTTTATATATATATATATATATATATATATTTTTTTTTTCCATTTAATTTTTTTTAAGAGTAATATATGTATATTTATTAATTCACGATTAATTTAATTAAAATACAACTAAATATAATTGGGAAGGCAGCCCTCAATCCGCTGCATTTCAATTTACAGACCTTTCATGGCGCCTGGGACTGTGACTGCTCGAGCCACAGGCGCCATTATTGCCGCCATCTCTGTTTCTATGGTCCTCTTCTCTTACCTTCTTCGCAAACACCATTCGAAGGATCATTCGAGTAAGAACACAAAATCCTTCTCTGTATCTAAGAAAAGTCCAAGAAATGGGCCCGTAGGTGCCATTGGCAATACCCCTTTGATACGGATTAATAGCCTCTCCGAGGCCACTGGTTGTGAGGAAAGTTTCATTTCTCTCTTCGACTCTTGAATTGTTTTGATTTGATTGAAGTTTTTCTTCTGTTTACTGATTTCTTGTTTGGTTTTGGTTTAGTTCGTGAAATTTATTGCTTATTTGAACTGCATGTGTCTCGTATAATGTTTGATGTTTTGTTTTACTCGGATTTCAGATTCTTGGGAAGTGCGAGTTCTTGAATCCGGGTGGAAGTGTGAAGGATAGAGTTGCAGTTAAGATCATTGAAGAGGTGAGTTTATTTACTTTTTTCCTGATGCAGCTTCTGGATTCTTGATGGATGAACAGGGAATTCTGAAGAATTTCCATTGTTATTAGGATAATTCGATTACAATGTTGGTCTCGTTGAAATATTGGCAGCTGGGAAGAAACTTAAATGTTTCTAATTGTATTGAATAAATTTTCAGTATAGGCTTCCCTCATCTGTACACAGTTATGTAATATTATCTGCATATTGCGAATTGTGAATGAACTTTGTCATATGTTCAACCTATGATCCTTCCATCAATCCCTCAATTCACTCAGTTTTCAGAAAAATCACTTGGCACATCCCCCTAAAAGGAGGAAAAAGTGAGGTGAGAGGGGGTACCTTTGTCTTAAATTCTTGATGCTGTGATGCTGCTTCTAGGCTTTTGATTAAGATTGAATGTTTAGTATCTTGGATGCAACCATTGATCTGTTTTATATCACCTTTACCCAAAGCCCCTTTTCTTAAGCTTAACAAGCAAAGACTTCCAATCCATAGGCCATCTCCAAGTCAAATTTTGAGACCCAATTCTTTTTACTCGTCCTAAAATGTAATGACACAAGCCCACCGCTAGCAGATATTGTCCTCTTTGGGCTTCCCCTCAAGGTTTTTAAAATGCGTCATAGCCTAACATCAGGCGATGTGCTAGCAAGGAGACTGAGTTCCGAAGGGGGTGAACTCGAGGCGGTGTGCCAGCAAGGGGGGTGGATTGGGGGTTCCATATCGATTGGAGAAGGGAACAAGTAACTGCGAGGACGCTGGGCTTTGAAGGGGGAGTGGATTGTGAGAACCTACATCAGTTGGGGAGGAGAACAAAACATTCTTTAAAAGGGTGTAGACTCCTTAGCATACACATTTTAAAAACCTTGAGGGGAAACTCAAAAAGGAATGCAAAAGAGGACAAAATTTGCTAGTAGTGGGCTTGGGCCGTTACATAATATCTTCCATTGGTTCATTTGCACTTAATATGGGGCCAAGGATTTGTCTTCCTTCGGTGTCTTTCATCGTGTACTAGAGAAATTGTGGACGGGATTACCTCTTCTAATCTTTCTATTTATCCATGTTCTCTTATGATTTCTCATGAATTGGCGTTCGAGAGATGGTTTTTGCTATACCATTGGGGGAGGGGGGTTGATGTTTATAGATCCGCACGGTTTGGTTATTTTAGGATCAAAATATTCTAATTGTGTTAAATACATGTTCATAAATTTGTGCCTATATCAACATATAATGTGTCCATGTTAAAAAAAACATGTCACAACTCAGGAAGGTTGTACTGTCCTCATGGGCGAGTACCGAAATCTACCATGCTGTTTTAGCTATTCTAATTTGAGGTTTTTCTTGTAGGCCTTAGAATCTGGTAAGCTAGTTGAGGGTGGTGTAGTTACAGAGGGAAGTGCTGGAAGCACTGCCATAAGTCTTGCCACAGTTGCTCCTGCTTATGGTTGCAAGTGCCATGTGGTTATTCCAGATGATTCTGCTATTGAAAAAGTATGTACATTTTGCATTTATGGACTTTAGTTCCTCGGAAAACAAAATTTTTGATTTCATTGCAACCCCCCGTTACGTTAGTACCCCATAGCTGTTCCATAAATTCACAATAATTCTTCCTTCTTGTATACAAGTCTCAAATACTTGAAGCGCTTGGAGCTCATGTTGAAAGGGTAAGACCAGTGTCAATTACGCACAGAGATCACTTTGTTAACATTGCTAGGAGGAGAGCTGCGGAAGCCAATGAGCTAGCTTTGAAGAACAAAAAAGAAGAGCAACTATTTGTGGGAGGCAAGAAACAAAGTAATGGTCACATTTATGAGGGAGGAACCCAAGAGTCCTCTTTCTCAAGTAATTGCAAAGGTGGCTTCTTCGCTGATCAATTCGAAAACTTGGCGAATTATCGAGCTCATTATGAGGGTACGGGACCAGAGATTTGGGAACAAACTGGTGGGTGTATAGATGCCTTCGTTGCAGCTGCGGGAACCGGTGGCACCGTGGCTGGTGTTTCCAATTTTCTCCAGGTAAACACTCTGCATTCCTTGTCCTCTCAAACCTTGGCGAGGCAATTGTATAAGTTGTCTTATACTTGTTCAACAGGAGAATAATCCAAATGTGAGGTGTTTCCTCATAGATCCTCCTGGCTCAGGCCTGTTCAACAAGGTGACTAGAGGAGTTATGTACACTAAAGAGGAGGCTGAAGGACGAAGATTAAAGAACCCTTTTGACACAATAACTGAAGGAATTGGAATCAATAGATTAACGCAGAATTTCTTGATGGCAAAACTTGACGGGGCATTTCGTGGAACAGACAGGGAAGCCGTTGAAATGTCAAGGTTAGTGGCCATTGTAGAGCTCATTTCTTGATTTTTTGCGTTAATGGGGTTGTAATTTATAGTTCTAAGAGTGCATCAATATGTTTTCTTCCCAAAAAGTGGCGATTCAAAAGCCAGTTTCTTAAATTTTATGCTTCAATTTGAGCCACACTGATCATTCTTCTTGTTGCTACATTATTGACTCAGATATCTGTTGAAGAATGATGGGCTCTTTCTAGGGAGCTCTTCGGCCATGAATTGTGTTGGAGCTGTGAAAGTGGCACAGTCACTTGGCCCTGGCAACACTGTTGTCACCATTCTTTGCGACAGTGGAATGAGGCATCTGAGCAAGTTTTTCAGTGCAGAGTATCTGAGTCAATACGACTTGACGCCCAAGGCTACCGGCTTAGAATTTCTGGAATCCAGGTGATGGTAGACCTACGAGCCACAAAATCTCGTGTTAAAGAGCCTGGAGGTTCTCGTGTTAAAGAGCCTGGAGGTTCTCGTGTTAAAAGAGCCTGGAGGTTCTCGTGTTAAAAGAGCCTGGAGGTTCTCGTGTTAAAAGAGCCTGGAGGTTCTCGTGTTAAAAGAGCCTGGAGGTTCGGTATGCCTACTTGAAATTCTCATCATATTTTAGGGTCTTGGAGTACAAAATTGACCATTTTCATGTTGCAAATCATGAACGTTGGATTAGAGTAATTCAATTTTGTAAGATTGAGGCATTGTTGTTAGGAAGTTTAAGAACATTCAATGATTAGCTTCACCAAACATGCTGCTTTTACAGCAACTACTTGAATTATACCATCGAAGCTCCAATACAAAACTTATTATAGTTCTAAACTCTGGGCATTAAGTTTCCAAAAATATAGAGAGAAGGTATTATTTGTCTCGAAAGGACGGTTAATACCGTGACAAAATGACCCATCAGATCTTTATCTTGAAAACTATGCTAATTTTGTTAAGTTGATCTCTGTGGGCATTACTTCTCAAACTGAGCCTCATGGCAATGTGGGTCAAGCCAGTCCCTTGAAGACCCTTTTGTCATATTGGTGCTTGATTTTCCACCACCTACAAGCTCTCTCAAATTCTCCAACTTATTCTCCCGTCCGGTCGTGGTCCTCCGATCTGCTTCCTTCAATTTCTGCTTTAACCTATGTTTACGATTGGCGGGGTTCAAATCTTGTTTTGACTGTGATGGTGGCGCGCCATGTGGACCAAGATAGATCGTCATCTCTTCTTTAACCTAGCCATGAAGAATTATAATATGATCATCTGAGTCTATAATATTCATTCGGTGTCGATATTTCATTTTCATAGATATTTACAGCTTATCTGCTAAATCTTTGGGCAATCTCCTAGGTGGTTTTTGTTGACATTTATATTAAGAGTTACTGACAGCTACCTTTGGAGGAGGCTCTTGGATCTCTACTTTTGGAGAGCTAACTTTAGTTTGGTCTGTCTCTTCTTCTTCTATTCCCAAGCTGGGAATCACGAACCCATCAGTGTCTGTTGCAAAAAGATACCACACACCAGTCAGTACCATGCTTCATGAAGATTATCATTTCAACAAAAACTTGAGTGTGTAATGTGTTTGTATATTCTTGAGGAAACGACTAAGAGCCAAGGAAGTAAATGACAGTAACTTGCTCACAAGCAACTACTGTAGTACCCCACAATGATAGGAATTGTTCACAAACCATTTATGACAATCAAGAAATTTTCATGGTTTAAATACTACTACGATTCTGTACCTTAGACATAAGTAATTTGACAAGCAAATATCTAGTTTAGATAGACCGTTCAAATAAATGTAATGATATCATCAATATGGATTCCCGTCGCTTGAGAGATAGTAAGGTTCTATGATTATAAGTTTAGGCAGTACAGAAGATTTAATCATAAACAGCTCACTGAGTGCATATATTCATAGTTCAAGAACAATATCATAATCCAGGCACCCAAAGGAACTGAAACAACAAACGCAAAAGAGTAACAGATAATTTTGGACCTCCTCTACTATCAAGCCACTAGAGTCGGATCTTATTTGTGAGATCCCACATCGGTTGGAGAGGAGAACGAAACCTTCTTTATAAGAGTGTGGAAACCTCTCTCTAGCAGACGCGTTTTAAGAACCTTGAGGGGAAGCCCCAAAAGGGAAAGCCCAAAAAGGAAATATCCTACTAGCGGTGAGCTTGAGCTGTCATAAATGGTATCAAAGCCAGACACCAGGCGATGTGCCAGCGAGGAGGCTGAGCCCCGAAGGGAGTGTTTTAAAAACCTTGAGGGGAAGCCCCGAAAGGGAAGGAAAAACCCAAAGAGGACAATATCTATTAGCGGTAGACTTAGGCTGTTACACTAACTTTGGCCGCTCTTTCTTTGTATGCTTATGGTCAATGAGAGGAACTTTTCAAAGTCTCCTACACGCTCAGACTTGACTCTCCTCCCTTCTTCTTTTGTAAGTTTTGATCATCTATAAAATTATTTCCCATCTAAGAAACAAGTTAGAAAGTAGAATCTAATGCTATTACATTAACCATTTCCAAGCTAACGGCTACACATAATGAACGGAAAACACTACCATTCCACGAAGTACCTTGCAAAGATATCATCAAGAACTATCCATCGTTTTCCATTTTCATGAGGAAACCACCACAGACAGAGAATGACAATACTTTTTTAGCAGAAATGATTTCTCTCATGAAACTCCAGCAGCTAAGTGAGTCAAATTTAGGCTTTTAACTTAATCAAATTGAACATTGAACCCGTGCTAAAGAATTAGTATGGAGGATATGGACTGCGATAAGACCGGATTATTCCTGCATTCTTTAGGTTGTTTAAACGGAGTTTTTCATCAAATCCTTCCTGACAGGTTTTCTTATCTCCACGGTCTGAGTTTTCCCAATTCGAGTACCTCCACCTGGGGATTACGGTTGCAAGACCGAAACTCAAAGGAGCAACATCAGTATCCTTCAATTATTAACTTGTGTTCTCGAAATATGTGTATAGGTTTGTAGCTGAGTTAGACTATACTACTTTTGTTCTCAGTTTGGGCACTCTTTTGATCAATCTTAACATCTTATGATTCACTCAACCAAACCTCAAATTTTTGTATTCAGCATGCCGTGTAAAAGAAGAAAGTGGAAACAATAAAAGCAAAGCCTCAGAAATAGGGGAAGCAAAATTTCCACCACTACCAAGAACAAACCACCAAATCCAGAAAACAAAACAACGAAATCTTCAGCATAGATTACCAAACAATCAGCAACATTGGGACAAAATCCGTAGATAAAATTCAAGCACAATCTTCCAATAAAAGGAGGTTTAATCGATCCGAAGACAAACACAAAAACAAACCTACCATTCAACATTAGGGTTCATAAACACATTCCCGAAATTCCATCGCAGATTCCAAAATTTTCAATCCACGGTAACTCAATGGAAGAACAAATTCCATTTCCGATAGGAGAAAAGAGATTCAAGAATCAAAGAACAAAGATTACCCCACTCATCTTCTTCAACTGGAGGAGCTTTGTGCACAGACGACGGGTCCATTGAATACCGACGAGCATGGATTTCAGTGGCCTCAGGGCGCTAAAGCCCAGAAAGGAAGGGGAAAAAAATGATCAACCCCACCACGACCCAACGCGATTCCCGAAGAAACTTCAAATTTAAAGGAAAGGAAATGCAGAGAGAATAAATTTTAAAAGGAAAAAAAAATAATAATAAAAAAAAATAATAATGATTAAGAAGGATACAACACAAAGTTTACTCCAACAAGTTTATGGTCGGGATCGTGGAACTCTCGCTGAGGAGTAAGTAAGCTGGTCTTTGTTTGGTCATAAGAATAATGGTTCTTATTAGGTCAGGGGCAGCCGATCTGGGGTTACCCACGATTGTTAATGACATAGTATGAGAAAGTCTTTTAAATCAACTCAAGTTAGTGACCCGTAATTACAACATGTCGGTAACCTGGAATAATGGTTCTTATTAGGTCAGGGGCAGCCGATCTGGGGTTACCCACGATTGTTAATGACATAGTATGAGAAAGTCTTTTAAATCAACTCAAGTTAGTAACCCGTAATTACAACATGTCGGTAACCTGGAATAATGGTTCTTATTAGGTCAGGGGCAGCCGATCTGGGGTTACCCACGATTGTTAATGACATAGTATGAGAAAGTCTTTTAGATCAACTCAAGTTAGTGACCCGTAATTACAACATGTCGGTAACCTGGTGTTATCATCCCAAGTTAGAATAATGGTAGTGTAATATTATCACTATATATATCAAAAGGAAAAAAAGCGAAGAACATGCATCAATCGAGAATCGAACCAAGGTCTGTACTGAGTTTAAATTTTTCTAAATTATTTTATAAGTTCCTAAATTAATTTTTACTCCTAAATTTGAGGAAAACTAACATACACTCTTGAACTTCCCCATTTATAACAAAAACACGTGCGGAGGTGACGTGGAATAGTGTGAAATTAAGAAATATCCATTTAACTGGTAAGTCTTCTAGCTCCCAACAAGATAGAGAATCCGTGTTTAAACAGGGAATGAGGGATAGAGCAGAAAGAGATTTCTCCTTATTAGCTAAACAAGTCGAGGACGAGAATTATATTCTTCATCTCCATCTCCGCTCTCTCCGGACCTACCCAGCTCACTTTATATAATATATAACTAGAATACTATTATAATATTGAAATTTGAGTTCGTAGAAATTACGTTAACAATATACTATATTTTTTGCTTATCAAATATTTATTGAATTATTAGGATGTTCTACATTTTTTTAACAAAGGCTTTTCCGTTCCTACCTTGTCTTGTCCTGCTCCACATACATCTCTATTGACAGTGCTTTATCTCAATTTCGACTCCGACTTATTACCATATTGTTTGAGTCTCAATTTTCGTTCAATATTCTAAAGAAATTTCTATATTTTTCTAGATTTAAAAATTTTAAAAATGTACTAACTCCCCTTTAACTATTAGACTATTTCCAACCCGAACATAACTAAATTGATTAAGATATTATAGCTTCGACCAATTCAATCCCGAAAAATTCATAACATCCGTTCATTTTTAACACATCAATGAAAAAAATGCCTAAAAATTGAGAATATTTACGATTTTAGCTACCGTGCCTTTAGGATACGAGGACGAAAAATAATTTTCTTTCCACTTATACCCGACGAGTATTCATAGTAAACTACCAGAATTCCACAAAATCTAATAGGTTTAGCTATATTCTATTCAAACAAAAATTGAAATCGAGAAATGGTGTGACTTGATATAAAATACAAATTGAAACTCGATCATCGTCACATTCATGCAAGTCTCAATTTACATTCGACATTCCAATGGATTTTCACTCCAAAAGAGTTTTGAAACGTGTAGAAAAACGTTCGTAACCCGTCTTTAAAAGTGAATCCAAGAGGGAATTCAAGTGTTTCGATCAACAAGTTGCATTAAGTATAGAAAGATCAAAAGATGGAATCAAATTCTCAAGGTCTGGAAAAGTAAACAAAAACATGACCAAAAGTAACAACAGACTATGAAACAGCTCTTCATGTACTGATTGACATCCATAACCACATCAAGTCAAGAAGTACATGCATACAAGTGTATCGAGTCGAGTACGAACGACCTCTGAAGGTTTGAAACAACAACTTTCAAAGAATTGTTAGCTCTACATCCTCGTAATCGAACAGGCCGAGGTGTGATAATGTAAGAAGAGGGGCAAACATATGATACAACAACTCAAAAAACAGAATAATTTATGAACACGATATCGTGTGGTCTAAAATACAGTACGAACGACTTCTGAAGGTTGAAACAACAGCTTTCAAAGAATCATTAGCTCTACATCTTCGTAAGTGAGCAGGCTGAGGCGTGATAACGTAAAAAGAGGGGCAAACATATGATACAACAGCTCATAAAACAGAATAATTTACGAACACGATATCGTGTGGTCTAAGATATTTACTCTAAAAACAACATAGTAAGCCATTACATGTCAAAAACAACATCAAGACAGAAGGGACTTCAGCAATAGTTTAGCCATTACATCTAAGAACATCAGTTTCATCATCAAGTGCCAAGTCTCAAGAAACATAATCCAAAAGAAACGTGAGAGAGTTTAAACCAAGAGTTTCACTATCAAATTAGTAGAGCAAATAGCTGCTGCCATGCCTGGGGTAGGTTCTCTGCACAAAGTTAAAGGGATCTCGCTGCCATCTCCGAAGCCAACTGTCGTACCATTAGATCAACGCCTTAGTATTAGACGTCGTTATAGGTACGACGAAACAAAGGAAAACAAGGGATTCTTCCAATCAGCAACATGTTAATGCTAGAGATTTCTATCAGTAATAATAACATTTTGAGGCTAGAGTAGCATGAAAAACAAAAACAATGTTCTGTACCATGTCTATACAGATGCTTAGCTAAATAAATGTCAATCGAAATGCAAAATCTGTGTGGCGATCGACAACAGGGGTTACGGTGAAAATATCAGCATGATATGGTATTGATTCCATAAACAAAGAAACTACAAGTAAATAGAACCATTTCTAAAGAGAACCAATTTAAAACAATTCCTTAGTTGCACGATCATATTAAACTACGGTAGATACCAGAAAGAACGTTCCATTTTGCTAGTGTTTAATTTAAAAAGTTAGAGAAAGAAAGGGTATTGTGTTAACTTACTGCTTTTTTTTGTCTTCTCTAGAAAATCTTGACATGCTCCTGTTGTAAGAAGTAACCAGTGGAATTCAGTGTCAGAGAAGCGATGGCAAAGGAAATGGGCAATTAGCGAATCAACGAGCCGAAAACATCGAAGAGAGAATCCAAACGAACATGGAAAGCCAAAGTCTAAATAGTTTTAAGTATGCATTTGTAATGATTTAACTACTCAGAAGTTAGACGCCGTCTTTTCCCATAATCAGCATCCCTAGATCTAGAACGACTTTCTTCTTCTTGTGACAGTCGAGACTTGCTATGAGTCCTTGATGACCGCCCCCTTTCCCACTCATCTTCATGCTCGGGTGCACGGTCCCTATACCTATGATGATCCATATATTTGTCCCGATCTTCCTTGTGCCTATCTCGATCACGGTCACGATCACGATCTCTATCACGGTCGCGATCATGGCCACGCTCATAATCTCGAGAACGTTCCCTATTGCGATCACGATCCTTATCTCTCTCTCGACCTATATCTCTATCATCACGTGGCCTTCTATCTGGCCAATCATGGTCAGGAGCTGGATCTTTTTCTTTAGACCTCTCTCTATCATATCCAACATCTCTATCGTCTCGATACCTTCTATCAGAAGATTGTGACCAATCCCTTTCGGAGCCTTTATCTTTCTCCTTAGCAGAACTTGCCCACCCGCCTTTATCGTGACTGCCTTCACCATATTGTTGGTCAGACCCAGCTTCTTCTCCATAACTAGACTCTCCAGCTCTCCCTCCACCATGTTCTTCCATGCCCCATCCACCCATACTAGGATCAGACCACATCCCCATATTAGGCCCCCCATCGACACCCGAACTTGGCATCATCCCCATTCCACCCATATGCATACCTCTACCGAAAAATGCTGGGTTCACATGAGGAGCTACTCCAGGAAGGCCAACACCCCCAACAGGTGGAAATGAAGATAAAATTCCAGAGAAAGGGGGCGTGGGAGCACCAGGAAAACCACCATATGTGCCCATTCTTCCCATGGGTGCACCAAAAGCTGGATCGAAACCTTGACCCATCATCGACTGCGGATGCAACAATGGAGGGGCGGCACCAATTCCTTGGCCAAATCCATTTCCACCATTCCCCATTATACCTCTGCCCCCCATCCCACCTCCCCTGTTCCTCATTGCCCCAGCTGGTCCTCTACCTCCCATTCCATGAACATTACCTCTCCCCCAACTACCTCTCCCAGAACCTCTATTGCTATCACCACCACCTTGATAATTACCACCCGTTGCAATGTTACTTCCAACCATTTTACCTGCAGCATCATTGGCACCTCTCCTTGCTTGAGCGTTAGTAGATTGCGCCATCGGTTGGTTCCTATTTACTTGGGCTTCTCCCATCCTCTTAACACTAAATGGTGATGCATAGGCAACAACGCATGGCCGTCCATTAAAAATATGCCCATTCATTCCTTCCTTGCAGGCTGTAGCAGCAGATGGATCATAAAATTCAACTTGACAATACCCTTTCGACTTCCCACTAGCTTTTTCGTCGAAGAACTTGACCTCTTTCACCGGACCATACTTGCAGAGTTCCACCTCTAGCTCCTCATCTGTAGTCCACCAATGTAAATCACCAACAAACAAAATCGTCCCCCCACCACCTCCCCCGCCATTCCCGACGTTACCAAACCCATTCACATTCACACCACCACCTTGCCTAAGCAAGCCTTCATTTTCTACATTCCCTGTATTTGCTAAAACTCCTCCATGAGGAGGCTGGTGATGATGCTGTTGAGGACCTGGATGCCCAACTACGTTATTACTACTCTCCTCTACTTCATTGAATTTACTCCCTTGCCCCAATTCAACCCTAATTCCACCTCCACCACCTCCACCGCCCACCGGCGCCCCTCCTCTAGTAGCCATCTCATTCGTTCTTACATCTGGAATCTGGTTGTAACTCGGCGGTACTCGGTCCGAAGCCCTCGGACCACCAGCAACTTCAGCCGAAGCAGCACCGACAACACCAGGCACCAAAGCACCCAAGTTGGGTGCTGTAGCTGAACCAGACTCGATCTTCAGCTCCTCCTCCTTCTTATATCCTAAATCATCGTTTTTCCTCAAAGATTGAAGAAATCCCTCCCCAACATTAACATCGTTGTACAGGTCCTCGTATTCATCTTCATCTTCGCCTAAGAAACCCTCATCAGCAACAGCAGAAATTGCCTCATTTCTATGGAACTGGTCTATACGATCCATACCCTCCCCAAACCCTCCCGCACCTTCATCCATTTCTAAGCTTCCTCGACTTCCCCAACTAATGGATTTTTGCTATTCATTCAAAAGTATAATTTAAATGCAAGTAACAATCACAAAGTCAAGTGCGCAAAAGCACATAAGAGTTCAAAGATCTTTCAAAGCGGAATAAGTGCAAAAGGAATAGAGAAAACAAGAGATAGATAGATAGAGAGAGAGAGAGAGAAACCCTAATCTGGAAAACGCGAGTGGATATACTGGAAATTTCGGTTCTTCAACTTCATTGCTAACTTGCGCTGGGTTTAACTGTCATTTTATTATGCTCTCATTTGGATGAACACTCAATGATGAGGATGAGGATTACCTCTTTCCCTTAAAAAGAACAAAAAAAAATATATATATATCTATATATCTATATATAATTTTAATTCCGTTATTAACATTATTTAAATTAAATACGAACGTAATGAACATCGATTAAGGAAAGTTAAGTAAATTTTTAATTTTACATTTTCATTAATAACCTTAAGTCGGGCTTATTTGGTAATTTATTTAAGCCAATTCCTTCGTACTCGTATTTAGGTTAGGTACTCGTATTAAGGTTAGGCACCATTTCATCCTCGTACTCTTAAAAGCTACTTCTCATCTCGAGTGAACAGACAATTAACAATTTCTCAACAATTTAAGGAGGGTGATCCTCCTCGATGATTATCCAATACTAAAATATATAGGCTTCGACACATTTTCAACTATTTTCTATTTGGACTTTAGAACAAGCCAAAATACTATTTTTATCAGAAAGTCTTCTTCGAAGAAAGTACGTTACGTATCTATTACTGCTGAACTCGCTCGTTTTGACAATAATGATCAAAATAATTATTTTTGTTGTATATACATTTTGCCGTTATATGCATGTGGTAAAGAATTAAATAGCTAACCAACACACCCAAGAGACCGATTTGAGGAATGTAATAAAGAACATTTACCCATACAAAGGTAGCAAATATGACGAACACCTCAAAAATAAAATGAAAGTGGAAAGACGTTACACCAAACACAAAAGTTTTGATGAATCTCTAGTTCGAGTCGAATCTTTGGAAGCCATTTCACAACGCTCATGGATCACTAGAATATATATCTATATTGATCAATTGAGAGTGTTCAAAGAAAAAGTGATCCTAGAGAGAAAGCATTCGACTATTTTCTTCCAAAATGTACAATGCACATATACTCGAAATTTATGGATAGTAATTCTCAATATATTCGAATAACATCTCACATTTCCTAGAGAAGTAAAGAAACTTTTGGATATGGTCTTAACGTACCACCTTTCAAAAATGCAAAAGTCCTATAATAGAAAAATCTCGTCCTGCTCTCTCTTTAGGAATCTGTGGAAAGAAAGAAATCAAAGAATATTTACAGAAAAGACACAAACCTACCCAACTTTTCGACAATGTTGTTTACCAAGCTATAACTTGATACAAACTGTCTAATATTCACTCCCTACCGATATACCTCCCTCATTGCAAATTAACCCTTCTATAAATGTAAATGAAAGAAATCAAAGAATATTTGTAGAAAAAACATATAACTACACAACTTTTCGACAATGTTGTTAACCAGGCTTTATCTTAATACAAACGGTCTAATAATCACTTCCTATGGTTATTGCAAATTGAGAAGTTCTTCTATAAACACTATAGATTATACAACCTTCTGTAAATTTAATAAAATTGTCTCTTATAAAACAAACAACAAACAACAAACAACAGATTCATACACAGTAATGGGTATATACAACCTCTGAAACTACATCTAGTCAAGAATTTACATACATAATACAACCTTTGAATGAAGCTACATCTAGTCAATTGGTAACAGGTACATACATACAAGAATGAGGCCAAACAACCTCAGAGAACTACATCTATCAATTGGTAAAAGGTACAAACAAGTATGAGTACATACAACCTCTAAAAGAATGCTTAGCTCCACACTTGACAATAGAATGACTAAGGTGTGGAATCAAGGAAACCCAAAGGAAAAAAAGGGTTGGAAAGAGGTGTGTGAATATATGATACAACAACTCATAAAACAGAATAACGCACAACACAACATCCTCGAGGCTACGATACTCTAACAACATAGTAAGCCATTTACATGTCTGAAAACATATAGACATGTCTAGACTCGAACAGTATTTAGCCATTAAAACAAGAATATCAAAGTCATCAAGTGCCAAGAAGTCAAGAAACATCATTCAAAAGAAACGCGAGAAGTTCTAAACCAAGAAGTTTCTTTATCAAATTAATAGAGTGAGAAGGTATTGCCATGCATGGGAGTTCTCTCTATGCAGACGCGAATTTAAAGGTTCATGTTGTCACCGAACCAACTGCTGTTCCACTGAATGAAATCCACGGTATCGAATGTCGTTTAAGCTACAAAACAACAGAAAATGAGAGGGTACTTCCAATCAGAAACAACGTTAATGGCATGCCTCGCCTATTGATAATTAGTATGCCAATATAAAGAGAAAACAAAACATGTAGATCATGGCAACTCAGAGTAGATGAGACATAAAAACATCTAAAATCGAGAGAAAGAGCCGGGTTCGGATTTATTTTCTAAGTGCTTCGAAACTAAACACTTAAAAAGTCATTCCAAACATCCTCAAAAAACGAAAATAACCATGTCAGACTTTTTAGCTTAAAAGAATCTTGATCCTCCTAAAGCATACTTCTTTTCCCTTCCTTTTTGCCGCTCAAGTTTTTTCTTTCTTACCTGTTTGGGCTGATTTTTTTTTAACTTTCCTTCAGCCTCGGAGAGGAACAAAACTGATCTTTGCAAACTCTGCACTATCTTCCCCCCCTAAAGCTTCCTTAACCCTATTCAAATCTTCTTTAGAAGCTTGGACATCTTCTTTAGCCAAATAATCTGAAACAGAAAACAACTTTCCTTTTGTTGCAGAAGTAAACTCTTTCCCGAACTACAAGGATCGAGTACGGTTTACCCCATCCGAACAAAANTTTCCTCTTCCCTTTTTTTTTTTTTTTTTTTTTTTTTTTTTTTTTTGTGATTTCCAAGCTAATCATAATCATAGTTGTTGTCCCAACTGTCATCACTATTAAAGCTCACCTCAGAGATATCAGGAATGCAAAAGAAGATATAATAATCCTCCATTTTCCTTCTTCCTTAACCCTCTTCGAATCTTCCTTATCTATAGAGGCTTTGACNTCTTCTTTTTTTTTTTTTTTTTTTTTTTTTGCAGAGGTAAACTCTTTTCCCGAACTAGAAGGATCAAGTAATGTAACCAAGTCCCATCCAACCAAAAGGTCTGTTCCACATCTTCTTTCCTTTTATTTCCAACCTAATCATAATCACAGTCATTGTCCGAACTGTCATCATTACTCAAGCTCACCTCAGAGATATCAGAAAGGCAAAAGAAGATATAACCATCCTCCATTTTCCTTCTTGTAGATGTGGACATGATTTTGTCTCCAACCGATTGTTGGAAGTCCTGATAATCGAAGTATCTGCAAACCTCAGGACGGTGTCATATTTGGAAACCTCATACCTTCTTTCTTTTCTTTCCACTAGAGTATTCTAAAATATTTCCTTCAATTGAACTGTTGAAACCCTCATTTTGGCCATTAATTAATTTTCCTTTAATCTTGCATTTATTCCTAACTCAGCTTTAAACAGTAAAAACAGATTAGATCTTATTAGAAGTAGGGAAACTAATCTAACACTTCTACAACTTCAGAGATAAAATCAGAAACAAGGATAACAATGAACTTTTTGGAACAAAACTATACTAACCTTTTAACTTCTTCCAATCTTTTAAAACAAAATATCACAAAGTAAAACATACTTTGTGTAATAATCATTCAAATGTATGAAAAATTAAAATATAATTCAGAACTTCTAATAGAAGAGTCCTACGTTCCTAACCATGTCTGTGTCCTAATTTTTTTTTTTTTATTATTATTTAAAGAAAATGAAAATGTCAGTGTCCGGAAACAACTTCTATATAATGAAAAGGAAAAATGTTCAAGGGTTTCAAACTCCCAAAGGGGGTGAAGATACAAGAAAGATAATACAAAATCAAGAACTTAGAAATGATTATAATCTTCTTGCTCATGCACATTAATGAGAACCAAACAAACTTGAGGAGTGGTGTAACGGCTCAAGCCCACTACTAATAGATATTATCTTCTTTGGGCTTTCCCTTTCGGACTTCCCCTCAAGGTTTTTAAAATTTGTTTGCTAGGGAGAGGTTTCCACACCCTTATAAGCAATGCTTAGTTCCCCTCTCCAACCGATGTGGTATCTCACAATTCACCTCCCTTCGGGGCCTAGCATCCTCGCTGGCACTCATTCCCCTCTCCAATCGATGTGGGATCTCACAGTCCACCCCCTTCGGGGCTCAATGTTTTTACTGGCACACCGCTTGGTGTCCACCCCCTTCAGAGTTAAGCGTCTTCGCTGGCACACCGCTCGGTGTCCACCCCCTTTAGAGTTCAGCATCTTTTTGCTGGAACATTGCTCGATATCTACCCCCTTTAGAGTTCAGCGTCTTCGCTGGCACATCGCTCGATATCTACCCCCTTCCGAGTTCAGCGTCCTCGCTAGCACACCACCCAGTGTACTGCCTATAGACCCCAAAAGGCTGAAATTAAGGTTATCTTGAAAATGGAAAAAATCTTGGACGCCCCTAAGCAATTAGAATAAATGAAGGATGAAAATAGGCTTCTCCCAAGAAAACCTTTTAAAATTGGAACTAACGCAACAAATGTTGACTTAAACAATCCAACACCTTATTGAGAAAGAACCATAAAATCCTCATAATTCTTCAAAGAAAACTACCTCAAACAAAGACAAAAAAGGCTTATTTCAATAAAATTGGAACTAACGCAACTCTTTGAAATGTGAACCAACAAAATAAATGCTAACTTAAGCAAACCAACATCTTGTTGAAAGAGATTCATTATCTTCAAAAGAAGCTGCTTTCAAATTGGTGGGAAAAAAAATCTCATTTACTTGCAAAATATATGATGAGAGAGAAATCATCAAAATAAATGTCAACAACTTGATAGAGAGAATCATTAGTGCCCCACAGATCTTAAAGGGAAACAACATCATCGGCCTATATCCTCAAAGGCGAAAGAAGAGAAAAAAATCCCATTTAATTATAAAGAAATGCTAGACTTGATAATTATCAAATGGAAATGTAAACATAGTGAAAAATGAGGTCCGTAAAACAATAGAAGGTATAAATATGGCAATAAAGTCAACAATGGTATTAGTTTTAAGAACCAAAAACCTACTATAGCTGCAACAATAGGAAATTTCATTAGAGCATTAATAGAGCAAACATCCATTTCTAAAGGAATGCAGTTTTGAACAACTTCGTTAATTAGCATGATCATACCTAGTATACAAAACGAAGCGCCAACAAATCGACCAGAATTTAATTTTGGAAATTTGGGAAACGGAAAAGGATTGTATGAACTTACATTTTTTTGCAAAAAATCAGACCATGCTCCTGTAGGTAGAGAGACATACGCCGAGGTTCAGACAATAAACAGCATAGGCAAAAGAGCAATGATGAATCAAAGAGCCCAGAACTTCGAAGAGAGAACCCAAATGAACATGGAAAGCCATACTCTATATAGTTTAAACATTAAAGCATGTATGCTGAATTATTCAGCTACTCAGAAGTAAGCCTCCGCCTCTTCCCATAATCAGCATCCCTTGTTCTAGAACGATTTTCTTCTTCTTGTGGTAATCGGGACTTGCTATGAGTCCTTGACGACCGTCCCCTTTCCCAATCCTCGTCATGCTCTGGCTCCCGGTCTCTGTACCTATGATGATCAGAATATCTGTCCCTATCTTCCTTGTACCTATCACGGTCACGATCCCTGTCACGGTCACGATCACGATCATGATGGCCCCGCTCATAATCTCGAGATCGTTCCTTATCCCGATCCCGATCCCTATCCTTGTCCCTTTCACGCCCTATGTCTCTATCATCACGTGGCCTTCTATCTGGCCAATCATGATCAGGCCCCAGATCCTTTTCTTTGGATCTCTCTCTATCATCTCGATACCTTCTATCAGAAGACTGTGACCAGTCCCTTTCGGATCCTCTATCTTTCTCCTTTGCAGAATTTGCCCAGGCTCCTCTTTCATGACTACCTTCACCATATTGCTGGTCAGACCCAGCTTCTTCTCCATAACTAGATTCGCCAGCTCTCCCTCCACCATGCTCTTCACTGCCCCATCCCCCCATACTAGGGTCAGACCACATTCCCATATTAGGCCCATCAACACCCGATGTTGGCATCATCCCCATTCCATTCATAGGCATACCTCTTCCAAAAAATGCTGGGTTCACATGAGGAGCTACTCCAGGAAGGCCAACACCCCCAACAGGGGGAAAGGATGATAAAATTCCAGAGAAAGGGGGAGCCGGAGCTCCAGGAAAACCACCATATGTGCCCATTCTTCCCATGGGTGCACCAAAAGATGGATCAAAACCTTGACCCATCATTGACTGCGGATGCAACAAAGGAGGGGTGGCACCCATTCCTTGACCAAAACCATTTCCACCATTTCCCATTATACCTCTGCCACCCATCCCACCACCCCTATTCCTCATTGGGCCAGCAGGCCCTCGACCTCCCATTCCATGTGCATTACCTCTTCCCCAATTACCTCTCCCAGAACCTCTGTTATTATCCCCACCTTGATAATTACCACCCGTCGCAATGCTACTTCCACCCATTTTACCTACAGTATCATTAGGACCTCTCCTTGCTTGAGGATTAGTAGCTTGGGCCATCTGTTGGTTCCTGTTCACTTGGGCTTCTCCCATTCTCTTCACACTAAATGGTGATGCATATGCAACAACACACGGCCGTCCATTAAACATATGCCCGTTCATTCCCTCCTTGCAAGCCGTGGCAGCAGAAGGATCATAAAACTCAACCTGGCAGTAGCCTTTTGATTTCCCACTGGCTTTCTCGTCAAAAAACTTAACCTCCTTCAACGGACCATACTTACAGAGTTCCACCTCCAGCTCCGCATCTGTAGTCCACCAATGTAAATCCCCAACAAACAAAATGGTTCCACCTCCACCTCCACCTCCCCCTCCACCTGCACTCCCCACATTACCGAACCCATTTCCACCAACCCCATTTACATTTACGCCACCACCTTGCCTTAGCAAGCCTTCATTTTCTACGCTCACTGGGTTTCCTAAAACTCCGCCCTGCTGCGCTTGGTGGTGGTGCTGTGTCTGTTGCTGTGGCTGTGGCTGTGCCGGTGGCTGTAGCTGTTGCTGTGGCTGTGGCTGTTGCTGTTGCGGAGCCTGATGTGCAGCAACATTATTACTACTTCGCTCCTCCAACTCATTGGTTTTACTCCCCTGTCCTAATTCAACCCTAATCCCACCTCCGCCACCTATAGGTGGCCCCGATCCCGCCCCAACTCTGATAGCCATCTCATTTGCTCTTAAATCCGGAATCTGATTGTAACCCTCAGTTACTCTTTCCGCAACACTGTGCCCACCATCTCCTAAACCAGGAACATCAGTCGTACCTCCGCCAAAACCAGGTATCGAAGCACCGGAAGTGGGTGGTACAGCTGCAGGAGGCTCCATCTTGGGCTCCTCCTCGCTCTTGAATCCCAAATCATCGTTTTTCCTCAACGACTGAAGAAACCCCTCCCCAACGTTAACATCGTTGTACAAGTCCTCATATTCATCCTCATCTTCGCCTAAGAAACCATCATCAGCAACGGCAGAAATCGCCTCGTTCCGATGAAACTGATCAATCTGATCCGCACCCACACCAAGTCCTCCCTCTCCTTCATCCATTTCTACCTTCTTCAACGACCTCCTCTAGCGATTCATTCAAATTCAGAAATCGAATGTAGGAAACATCAAAAAGTCGATTAAAGCACTTACGAGATGAATTTAAAAGTAAGCAAGACAAGATAGAACTCAGATATCAAAGCCCCAATTACGGAACAAGTGCAGAAGAAAAGAAGAAGAACACACAAAGAGGGGAGAGAGAGAGAGAAAGAGAGAGAGAGAGAAACCCTAATCTGGAATCGCGCGTGGAAATCTTGGCAGTGTTTCCCTCGTCATCTTCTTGGAATGACTTTGTCATTTGCTAAAGTACGCCGTTTAACGTTTGACGCTCACGATAGCCAATTTCTCAAATTCGCCCTTAAAGGTTAAAAAACTCAAAAAGTTAATATTTTATATTTTAAAATTAAAATATTCATGATTTTTATATTTAAAAAAATTTATAAATATAAATCTTATGTAAATTGATAATTTGCATTTTACATTTTTTTTCAATAAGTTTAATTTTTTTAAAATATTGATATTAACCATTTATTTTATGATAGAATTAATGTTGATTGTTTACCATTTTCAACCCATATTTTAATATTTAAAAAATATATATATTAAAGACGAGTTTTACTCTTGTGTAGATCAAGATAAAAAAATAATAATAATTGAAACAATCACCGTTAAAAAATTGAGCTTAAAGCTCCACAAAATAACTCTCCTCTTTTGTGTCGGATTGTTCGTTCATTTAGGGTTAATTTGTCAAATTCTTCGATGACTCAGTTTTGAATTTACATATTTGTCCCTCAAACTAATTGTAATCTCATGAAATGTCACTTTTTAGAAATTTTGTCCTTTCTTTAGTTTTGCCTACGAGACAATCTCAGGTCCAGAGTCCATATCAAGCTAGAAACAAAATACAAGAGGTTTACGTAAACACTCAGGTAAGTGAATCCACTTAAAAAACCAAAACAAAACTAAAATGTCTTCAAGCTCCCATGGTCAAACAAAGAAAAAAACTTGACAAAAAAACCACCGAATTTACAGATAGTGGATGGTTCACACCAAACAAGGCTTCACTTAATGGTATCTTGCATGACTCATTTTTCGTGCTTAGACCTACCCAAGTTTAGCAACTTGAAAATAGGGTAGAACCCACCTACGTGCGCCTACTGGTGCTCTAGCGAAAGTCTAAGCCGATAATTGGTTAAGATTCGTTCCTCAAAAGAAATAACAAATAAGACCTCACATAGCATCATCTGACAAGTTAGGCAACCCAATGTTCTGACAAGTCTCTGCTTCACGGTCTCTTGCATGACTCATTTAACCACCCAAGTTTAGCAGCTTGAAAATAGGGGAGAATCCATCTATGCGCCTAGAGGTGCTCTAGCAAAAGTTTAAGCCGGTAATTAGCTAAGATCCGTTCTTCAAAAGAAATAACAAATAAGACCCCACCATAGTACCATCTGACAATTTAGGCAAACCCAATGTTCCGACAAGGCTCCACTTAACGGTCTCTTGCATGGCTCATTTTTCGTGTTTAGACCCACCCAAGTTTAGCAACCCGAAAATAGGGGAGAACCCACCTATGCGCGCCTACTGGTGCTCTAACGAAAGTCTAAGCCGATTATTGGCTAAGATCCGTTCCTCAAAATAAATAACAAATAAGACCCCACATAGTATCATTTGACAAGTTAGGCAACCCAATGTTCCGACAAGGCTCCACCTAACGGTCTCTTGCATGGCTCATTTTTCGTGTTTAGACCCACCCAAGTTTAGTAGCCCGAAAATAGGGGAGAACCCACCTAAGTCACCTACGTGCACCTATTGGTTTTCTAGCGAAAGTCTAAGCCAATAATTGGCTAAGATCCGTTCCTCAAAAGAAATAACAAATAAGACCCCTGACAATTTAGGCAACCCAATATTCCGACAAGGTTCCGCTCAACTTCTCTTTCGGTCCAAATAAACCCTTACTAGATATTTTTCAAAAGAGAACATTTGAGATAAGAAGACAGCTCACCTCAGTTACTCCATTTAGCATTATCCATGTGTTTTACTCTCCTTTATTTGTAGCTTGCCCCTCACGGAATAGAAAAGCTCCCTGAAAATGTATCAGTAATTAGAAAAACCTCAGCTCCAAAATTCATGTACTGTTTTTTAGTGTCTTTTCTTCAATATTGTTTACAAAATATTAACTAATCGTACAACAGTGTAAGCTTAGATGTCAACAACTAAAGCAAGCTTCCAAAAGAAGACTGAAAAGAAAGTAAAGTTCGGCAGGATGGTGTCACAAGGGCGATAGAGGAGTTTTATCAAAAAGGGAAATTTTCTTCAAATGGCTACAGTTCAACCCCATTTCAATCAAAGGTCATGAAAACTGTTGTAACAGCCTAAGCCCACCGCTAACAAACATTGTCCTCTTTGGGTTTTCCCTTTCGAGCTTCCCCTCAAAGTTTTTAAAACATGTCTGCTAGGGAGAGGTTTCCTCACTCATATAAAGAATGCTTCATTCTCCTCTTCAATCGATATGGGATCTCACAATCCACCCTCTTTTGGAACCCAGCGTCTTCGCTGACACTCGTTCCCCCTTCCAGTCGATGTGAGATCTCATAATACACCCTCTTTTGGGACCCAGCGTTATCGCTGGCACTCATTCCTCTCTCCAACCGATGTGGGATCTCACAAATTGTCTTACGGTATATTCGAGCATTTTAACAAATATATTGAACCAACATAAACTTCTTCACCAAGAGGGTAATCACTATAAGCAAAAATGTACCATTGTTCCTTTCAATTGATCGGATACTAAAAAAATTTGTAACTTATTCAATTAAAAATAGAAGAAGATCCATATTAAAAACATATACACAAATTTGAGAGGCATTTTTTGGTGGTGCTCATCAGTAAAAAATAAGTTGAAAATTTGCCAGCATATTGTGAGAGATAATGGACTTTGATAGATGGCTCAAAATTTCAATCAAATTCAATATACTTCCTACGAAGAAATAGTCATTTTACAAAATCAGAATACAAATAGGCGAGAAACACATTTTTGTATTCATAGGCTAATTCCTTACCTTCTGTGATCCATCCATATCAAAAGAAAACATCAAATAGTGAGTGCAACTAAACTATAAAGGTGAGATTTCGATTTCACATAGTTGAGGAGGAAAACGAAGCATTTTTTATAAAGTGGAAACCTCTCCCTAGCATATACGTGTTAAAAACCTTGAGAAGAAGCCCGAAAGGGAAAGCCCAAAGAGAACAATATCTGCTAACGATGGGCTTGGACAGTTACAAATGGTATCAGAGCCAGACATCGGGTGATGTGCCAACAAGGAGGCTGAGCCCCAAAGGGGGTGAACACGAGGCAATGTGCCAGCAAAGACGCTGGGTCTCGAAGGGAGGTGGATTGGGGGGTCCCACATCAATTAGAGAAGAGAGCGAGTGCCAGCGAGGATGTTGGGTCCCAAAGGAGAACGAAGCATTTTTTATAAAAGTATGAAAACCTCTCCCTAGTAGACACGTTTTAAAAACCTTGAGGGGAAGCCCGAAAAGGGAAAGGCCAAAGAGAACAATATCTACTGGCCGTAAGTTTGGAGTTTGAATAACCCCTAATCAAATATGTCTCAACTCTCCCCATCTTTTACATTAGAAAAGAAGAGAAAGGCTACAATCCTTCTCTAAAATGAGCGTATTCAGTGTGGATGGCTATCATTCTGTTGCAACCTAAACTTTCTAGCTTTGAACAAGGTTCTCTTTCTTTTAGAGACATAAGTATCAATGGAAGGAATTGAAGAATATTTTCAAGATGGATTATTCAACCGATAAACTCATCAAAACTAAAGAAAAGTTCCTCACAAGTGTTGGTAAAACGAAAATCAAGAAAATAAATGAGTTAACAATTTGAAAGTAGATGATAATAAACAATAATTTGGAGAGATGCATTCATCTAGTATTTCAGACCATAACGAAGGAGCACTGACCTCTTTTGTATCCTGTCTGATGTGTTGGAGCTACTCAATGCATTGACTCATGAGGAGCTCGAGCAACTTCAAGGCTACAAGCTAGGGAGGGGAAGTGAATCTTTTGACATTTGAATCGAGTCAAACGTTCTCTTGTTAGATTCCAAATGCTCACAATGAGGGCTACGTACCTAATCGTTATCGTTGAGATCGGTCTGAAGGTGTCCACCATGGCTGCAAATGTTACGAGACCTGGTTCTTTTCCACTTGGTAGATGGAGGCAGATGACCATTAGCAAAGCACAATCGGCTTACGGGGGTAGTCTACGATGGGGAGTCATGAGAAATGGAACATTTCAGCTATATGCCAATACTTAAAATTTGACGTTTAGGAACGATTTGTATCAGACAGGTTTTCACTATGAACGATTTGTATCACGTAACAGCAAGATATCTTCTTAAAAACACAAACACGTGATCTTTTAAAGAGAAGACTCACGTATCCACATAATCCCATAAATATACCTCTGTGCTTCTTCGTTCGCAACACCCATAGTTGAGAAGCATCTGCCACAAAACAAAAATTAAAAAAAATGTGTAAAAGGTAAGGTTTAGAAGGCAGCAATTGTAGCTTAAATCTCAAAGAAACAAGGAAACATAAAGAACAACCAAAGAGCAGAATGATACAGCAAGAGTAGAAATGAAAGAGGCCTTGGCAGCTAATACCAGCTGATTCTGCCTTATTTGGCTCCTTGTTCCATTTGCTCTTATGCATATTCCCATTAAACGTTCGATCGTACAAATTTCACGTTAGCCAAGCAAGCACATGAATGCAATACACCTGGAGGAAATGAAAAGACATTTCAGTACACGGATAAAAAAACGTTCTCGAGCAAAAGATACAAAAAGGTTACCGTTTTTTTTTTTTTTGGCAAAAAAAAAAAAGCATAAGACAAGCCTAACCTTAAAGTCATTGCGCGCTAGCCTCTTGTTTGTATCAGATCGATATTGAGTTCTATATCCTCTGCCATTCAGTCGCCAATGATACTAGGACCAATAGGTCAAAAATGGGTAGATATACTCATCCCTCCCATCGAGCACTAGATTTTTCCTTGCGCTCACGATCCATTTCATTGGTATTTTTGTTTGTTTTTGGCTTTATTTCCTTGATTGAACCTCAAGGAGTTCAGTTTGTCCAACACAACTACGAAACTCCTGCACGAACTTTGGGACTTCCCATCCGAATACCCAGAAATTAATCCTCTATCATTCAAGTCCTTGAGAAGTACTTCACCCCTCGAAACATACTGTTCGGTACTAATAGCAGCAACTAAAACTATGTAGGTGGTCATATTTGGCCAGAGACGTTTCTGTTTCATCTCTTCGTAAAGATCGAGTGCAGCTATAACATCACCTTTAGCACAATAATCAGAAATGAGAACATTGTAAGTAATTACATCAAGCTTCACATGATAATGCTCCATAAGGCTCTTCAAATTTTGTGCCTCCTTAAAATTTCCTTTTTTGCATAAGACGTGCATCAAAGTTGTAAACGTGCTGGTAGTAGGGATTTTCTGCATCCGAAGCATGCTTCGAAGAATCCACATTGCCTCTTCAATCTTCCCACAAAGTGCAAGCCCTCGAACCATAGCACACTCTGCAGCATCATCCAAGCTAACACCAAGTGCCACCATCTTATCTTTCAATTCAAACGCCCCTTGTATGTTGCCCACTCGACACATTCCTTTCATCAGAGTGCAATATTGTCCAAACGTAGGGATGAAACCCTTTTCAAGCATTTCAAGCATAAAAACAAACGAATTTTGGGAAACCATCCTTCTAATAAGTCCATCAGTAATAGCTTTTTGTGTGTCTGCATCGAGAGTAACTCGATAAACTTCCATGTTATTCGTCAAATCGATGACTTTATCCAGCTTATTGATTTCGCAACACTTCCTAATGAGCATATTAAATGTCACGTCATCGATAGTAGAACCTTCTGCAGTTACCATTTTCAACATCTTAATTCCAAGTTCCAACATACCATGGTTGCAAAGTCCAAGTATAAGAGAATGGTATGTTAATCTGTCAGGTAAAAAGCCACTTCTCCTCATACGTTTATATAACATAAAGCACGTCATTATATCCCGTCCTCTGGAATACGCATGTAATAATATATTAAACGTAGTCAAGTTAGGCGTTACATTTGTGTTGTTCATAGTTGAAATGAGAGAACGAACACTAAGCACTTTTCCCATCCTTGAATATCCATCTATGATCGAATTAAGCGCAATTGAATCCAACGAGAGGCCTTTTCCCTCCATTTCCTTCAAAAGAAATACTGCAGCCTTCGACTGGCCAGCCTTGAAAAGGCCATCAATCAAACAGGTGTAGACAATTGAATTCAATGATAGAACTCCTTTTTGCACGAGTCTTGCCAAGAACACGATGGCACAAACCAATCTCCCGTTTCTAATCAAACCAGCCAGAATATTAGTGTATGTATAACTATCTGGGAGAACATTATTCTGAATCATCTCATCAAATAGAAGAACTGCTTCCAGCAAATTTCCCGACTTACTTATCTCAACAATTAACGTGTTGTACGATATAGTATCCACGCCCAATGGAATACAATGAAGCTTCTTCAATAGTTGTCTTGCTTCCCGAAAATTCTTTCCCCTACATAACACTTTCAAAAGACTGCCGTAGGTGAACGGACTAGGGTGATGACCACAACTAATCATTTTATCAAACACTGAAAACGCCCTTAACCCATCTCCCACATTTGCATATCCATTTATGATACAATCAAATGTAATAGAATTAAGTGCAAGACCGATCCTACTTATGTGATGCACAAATTCCTCTGCTTCTACTAGTTTTCCATTTTCACAAAGAGAATTGACCAATAAATTACATGTGAATATGTCAACATGCTGCCCACTCAGATTCATAGCAGCATAGAACTTCATCGCTTCATAAACGTTTCCAGCCTTACAAGAGTTATATACTAATGTAGAGAAAATAACAGTGTTCGGAACGAGTCCTGCTCTATACATTTTAGACATAATCTCCTTCGCCTTCTTAATATTCCTAGCTTTGCAGAATCCATTTATAAGCACTGAAAACGTTATGATATCGGGATCAACACCAACCTTACACATCTCACTTAGTAATTCAAAGGCTTCATCAAGCAACCCATTTCTGCATAAGCCATCCATCATCACAGTATATGCGATAAAATTAAGAGACGTTCGATCGATTCTAAATCTCTCCAAAATATTTCTGGCCATGTCAAATTTGGCACCCTTGTACAGTCCATTTAAAAACGTTCCAATCGTAACCTCATTAGGCCTCACGTCATTCGCTTCCATCACATCCAAAACTCTCAAAGCTTCTTCAAAATTACCATCAATGCAGTGTCCATTAATGAGAATATTGTAAGTTATGAGATTTGGCGAAAGATTAAGCTCCGTCATCTCATCAAAAACCCGAGTAGCAACCCCAATCTTTCCCTCCTTGACAAAGCCATTAATTAAAGTATTGTAAGAAACTTCATTAGGAGTTATCATCTTCTTCCTCATTTTCTTCAAAACTAAATACCCTTGTGCACTTCTACTGTTTCTACACAAACTATCGACAAGCATATTGTAAGTACACACGTCCGCCCGAATTCCCTTCCCTTCCATATGATGAATAAGCTTAAGTGCAGATTTAAATCTTCCTTTCTTACAGCACCAACTAAGCAAGGTATTATAACTAACTATCGTCGGAACATAACCATTCCTCTCCATCATTGTTAAAGTATGAACAGCTTTCTTAAGCTTCCCTTGCACACATAGAACATTCATCAATATATTAAAACTCGAAACATTTGGACGAACTCTACTGATAAGCATTTCCTTAAAAAAAGACCAAACCAAGTGAGCTCTACAGTGCTTCACCATGGAAGCCATGATCATGTTACAAGTATAAACAGATGGCTTAAACCCACGAATGATCATGGAAGAAAAAGTATTAACAGCGTGCCCAATCATTCCTTGTCGCAAATAAACCCTAATTAAAAGGTCAAAAACTGCTGGATTTGAGCTGCAAACAGGGTATGTATCCATAAGAACACCAAAAAGAAAATTCGACCCAGAATTTCTCAGTGATAGATGTTTCAGAATTGATTTAGCATGATCGTATAATCTAGCTTTAACGAGTATATGAGTAGTAATACCGAGTATATGCGTGCGGTGATTGGGTTCCAAACCAGGCTGTTTGATAACCCACTTGAGGAATTTCCACGCTAGAACTCCATGAATCGGTCTGAGTGAAGCGAACTTATAGTTCATGTGATTCAGTGACTCCCAGCGACCAACGGTGAGGATTGTGTAAATGCTCTTCTCCATGAAAGCATTCGAGAGCGACGAGACTAATTAGGGTTTCCCGCGGCGCGGATTTCTCATGAGAACTGAGAATTTCTTCACCTCTCTGAAATTCTCTAGATTGTGAGGGGATTTTCGATGCTTCACATGTATGAATTCATCAATTTCACGGTGATTTGTCCAGCAAGATGGAGCTTACGAGTTCAAATTCAATGACTAGCAAGCAATGTATCTTGGTTCCATAATCGGAACCAAAGTCTTGCATAACATGCATCATAAATCTATGAATTCACCAACCCAAAATATAAAATCTCTTAAAATCATAAAAAGGAAACTCAAGAACATTTATAAAATCTCTTAATATGATTGGATAATCTAAGCTTTAATTGGATTAGTTTTTTTTAAAGGCCGATAGTGATACGTAGTGGACAACATTAAATACTAAGACCAATCTTAACATTTTGTTTATTTGTTTTCCCGTATGTTAAATTTTATTATTAACTCGTGAACCATTTAGTTTGAAAGTGATTAAGAACGGGTTGCTTTGTTTTTTTTTTTTTTGTCTCGGCCGAAATATTTTCCAAGAAGTACTTTGATCATGTTTTTGCTCGGGTTACTGAAATGAATGTATTGTTTACTTAAAAAAAAACCCTTGTTTTCTCGAGAATTTTGAAACTATTTACAATCTCCTTGATTCGTTGTCATTACTTTCTTCGGTTACTGGTAACTGATTAAGATGAAGTTCTGGGAAAAAAAACTCGTCATATTTAAAATGTCACGAACCGTTCGAGTCGGTTGAGTTCCCACGTTACGATGATCTCTATCTTTTCTTCAAACCTAAACGTCAATTGCAATGATTCGATAAAACAACTCAGTAAGATAGAAATAATAGATACGATAGCTAAAGAAAAACATTATTATAGACATGTAGTTTTTTTCATAGGTCGTGATAATCGAAGATATCGAACGGGTTTCGAATCCTAAGCATCGGACCAAGTGACAGCCACTTTGCCCACATCTTTATCCAGCTCCAAGGCACTCCACACCGCATCAGACCCATCCACTATATTATTCTCACACGGCGGCAAACCAGCATGCTCCGCATCGCACCCATTCACGGAGTCACATTGATCCACCACCTTAGCCACCACCGATCTTCCATTTGATGCCGTGATCTTTATCATCTTCCCACATCTCGAGCCCCCGTTATACCAACCGGTTGACAATGCCACGATTAGTTCCGAGTTGTCATGGAAGCTCTCGTCGCACTGTGACGGAGCTCCGCCGTCACCACCTTCACTGAAATCGTTGTTGGTCAGCGTAGCATCGGTTGAGGAAGTCACCGGCGGCGAGCATTCGTATTGCGGGAAGGATTGTCCGTTGCAATCCAAGGTTCCCGTTGGCTGGCAATCACTCGTCGGAGATGGCGAGGATCCACCAGTAGAGCATTGATTCGTACCAATGTCGGGATCGTCGTTGCAGACGCCGTCGATGCAAATCAACAAGCCGTCGCAATCGTCAAGAGTTTGGCATGGACCGTTACAGGAAGAGGTTGATAGAGAGAAGTGAGGAAGAAGAATAAGAGATAGGAAAAACGCTAAGGTTGCCATGGAAGTTGATGTGAGTAGAAAAGAGAGGCTTCTTGCCCTTATATAGTTGAAATAAATATCTTTTTAGTTCTTCATTTTATAAGATTTTGCTATTTAGTCCTCCTCGGAGACTTTGGTTTTGACTTTGAATTTTGAACCCGTCATTCTAAGTTATTGTCATTTTCATCCTCCGTTTAGCTAACGGGAAAAAATCTCTTCATGGTCCGTCTCACATTCTCTATTTGAATGAGAATTTCTTGTCTTGTTTCAGACGGGTCCTTCTTTAATATAAATCAAACATACGGTCTTAGTTGTTCCCGTCCTCGATTCTGTTTATGTAACAGCCTAAGCCCACAACTAATAAATATTGTCTGTTTTAGCCTGTTACGTATTGTCGTTAGCCCATGATTTTAAAACATGTCTATTATGGAGAGGGTCTAGTCTTACTCCGACTAGTGTCTCATACCATCCGTGAGGCTCTAATACCATTTGTAACGGCCCAACTTCCTCACTAGCACACCGCCTCTGGCTCTGATACCATTTGTAACAACCTAGGTTTATCGCTAGTAAATATTGTCCGTTTTGGTCCGTTACGTATTGTCGTTAGCCTCACGGTTTTAAAACGCGTCTACTAGGAAAAAGTTTCCACACCCTTATAAGAAATGCTTCATTCCCTTCTCCAACTGAGATCTCAAACTGTGAGGCCGACGACGGTACGTAACAGGCTAAAACGGATAGTATCTATTAGCGGTAGGCTTTAACTGTTACAAATGGTATTAAAGTCAGTCACCAGGTGGTGTGCAAATGAAGACGTTGGGCCTCCAAGGAGGGTGGATTCTTAGATCCCACATCGGTTGGAGAGGGAACGAAACATTCTTAGTGTGAAAACCTCTCCCTAGTAGACACATTTTAAAACCGTGAAACTGACAATAATAAGTAACGGACCAAAGCGGATAATATTTACTAGCGTATTACAGTTTAACTAACAAGAAAGAATCTTTTCTCGTTCCATTTCCTATTTTCGTTTGAACGAGAATTTCTTATCTTATTCGAGGCGGGTCCCTTCTTATTTAATATAACTTAAAACATATCGTTTTAGTTCCTCCTCTAATAAAATAGCATTTAGTTCTTTTACGGAGAATTAGTCTCCACTATAAATTCTACCCTTATCATTGTCAACTTATATTTATGAGCGTCGGGAAAACATGTTAAAAAGATCTATATTGTTTGTGATGATAGTTTTCACTCTTAGAAACCGTTCGAGATAAGTACATAACACAGTAAGTAATGTAAACATTTCACAAGAGAATGTCGAAGCAATCAAGTGTCGGATCTGATTTCCGAACCCTAGTCGATATCTAAAGTATTACACGTTACATATAAGCATATATAATATATGGCGGGAACTTGAGTTGACTTTCTAAGACAACTTGCTCGAAAAAAATTTGACTTGACTTCGATAAATCGACTTAACTTGTACGAGTAATACAAAACACGTTACATATAAGCATATATAATATATGGCGGGAACTTGAGTTGACTTTCTAAGACAACTTGCTCGAAAAAAATTTGACTTGACTTCGATAAATCGACTTAACTTGTACGAGTAATGCAAACGTTTGAATTTTAATAATATGCTTCAAAATTACTCTATATATTTATTTAATATCCACTAATAAAAAAAAATATTATAATTAAAAATGGTAAATGTAAGAGATTTAAATAATTCATTAAAAAAGATTTTGAAATTTAAAAGGATAAAATCATTCGGATCCACCTGAAGGAGACCAAGTCAAGTCAACCATTAATATGTTGACTTTTATGGTATTTGAACCTCTGAATTACTGTTTTTTTTAGTTCTACAACAATATACAGATAGATATTTGAACCTTTGACCTACTGTTGGAGTATGTTTGAACCAGTTGAATCGGGTTGAGATTAGTATTAAATTTTACCCCACTTTTTAGTTCTACGACAATGTAGAGGTAGCTATTTGAATCTCTGACCTACTGTTCGAGTATGTTTAAACTAGTTGAATCGGGTTGAGATTAGTATTCAGTTTTACCCATTTTTTAGTTCTACGACAATGTAGAGGTAGAGATTTAAACCTCTGACCTACTGTTGAATCGGGTTGAGATTAGTATTAAGTTTTACCTATTTTTTAGTTCTACGACAATGTAGAGGTAGAAATTTGAACCTCTGACCTACTGTTCGAGTATGTTTAAACCAGTTGAATCAGGTTGAGACTAGTATTAAGTTTTACCACTTTTTTTTAGTTCTACGACAATGTAGAGGTAGAGATTTAAACCTCTAACCTACTGTTGAATCGGGTTGAGATTAGTATTAAGTTTTACCCCATTTTTTAGTTCTACAACAATGTAGAGGTAGAAATTTGAACCTCTGACCTACTGTTCGAGTATGTTTAAACCAGGTTGAGATTAGTATTAAGTTTTACCCTTTTTTTTAGTTCTACGACAATTTAGAGGGCAGAAACTTGAACCTTTGGCCTACTGTTTGAGTATATATGTTAAACCAATTGATTAGCATTCTGTTTGAAACGTATAAAACTCGAAAAAGTGAGATCCAAGTGCATATGAGGAGCAATCCCTGAACGAGGCTGGCTTAGTTGAGCAAATTGTGGGTGCATAGGTGGACGTTCATTCCCTCGAGATTGAACAGTTTTGGATCCCTCTCGAACCCTACATCTAGTTTATTTCGGTTACCTCGGTTAAAAACTTAGGGTTAAAAACTTCGAGTATTCTCCACTTTTTTACTTGGACACAATGTGTAGCACTTATAAGATTTCCATTGGTGTTGTGCAACCTTTAGACATATCCATTGGAGATAGACTTATTTGGGCCTTCCTAACCCTAATTTTCCTTGGTGGATTTGGTCATTATTTTGGGCCCAATTTTATGTGTAGTGTAGCAGGACGGTGTAATAGCTCAAACTCACTGCTAGCAGATATTGTTCGCTTTGGCCCGTTACGTATCGTCTTTAGCTTCACGGTTTTAAAACGGGTCTATGAGGAAGATGTTTCTACATCCTTACAAAGAATGTTTCATTCCCTTCTCCAACCGATGTAAGATCTTACATAGGGTCTACTCGTCCTATTTGTTCCATGATCTATAGATCTACTAGAGATACCTACTTCGATCAATTAGTCAAGATTTTGACCCGAGTGCACAATCACTAATACTCGATCTAGTGATATTTTTATGGATATTCTATCGATCGTTATTGGATTCCTATTCAAAATCATTGTTGTTCCTTTTCGAGCAGCAATAGGTCGGATGACCGCTTATAAGTAGTAGGGTGTAGGGTAGGTGGTACTACTCAAAATGTTGGCAATCTTCCTAACCGAGCACGGGTCGAGCTTAAAACGCGTAAAACTCATCACTATCCTTCTAATCATAAGTGCGGTTTTGTTCGGTCTTTAAAATTTTGAATTTTTTATTGAACGTAAATTTAAATTTTATGTCTCGTAAAATTCTAATTTTTCTATTTTTTTTATTATTATTATTTCGGGTTAGATAAATCCATAAATATTTAAAATAATAATAATAATTAACACCACAGAAAAATCCATATGCTTGCCTGCTTTGCGTTTCCAAAAGCCATTAAATCTGAATGTCGGTGGAAAGATCCTACCGACGAAGCATAAATCCAAGCCCTAATCACTACCGTACACGTGGCATCAAATCTCCAGGCCCA